TTGTTGTTGTTGTTGTTGTTGTCATCGTCGTAGGTGTTGCTGCTGCTGCTGCTACTGCTGCTGCTGCTGCTGCAGCTCAATGGAACATGTGCTATTTTCGGGGTGTCAGGTTCCATGGGTAGGAGGCAGGAGCACATCCAGTTGAAGTTGGCACAAGAGCAGAAGCCACGGGCAATATGAGTCGTCTCTCGAAGGTATCCGGAGTTGGGAGGGGTCCCAAGTGTTTTACGCACAACTTGGGTCCATGGTGTCCTCCCCAAGCTAACAAGGCACGACCAGTATATCCAGTTGCTCATGGAAAAGTTTGGCCACGGTGCAGTCGATGGGGCCACTGCAAAAACAAAGCCACATTATATCCGATCTCAAGTCCTCACTCGTGGAACAGGGCAAGGTTCAACAACCCCTCAATGAAAAGAGACTCATAAAGCCAGGAGAACTCATGGGATGTCCCATTTTCAATTGATCTGACATTTTTAATGTTCGTTCTGTGCAGAGCGATGAATCCATGAAATGGGCCAGGAGTCAAAATGGACGGGTCCACTGATCAGCGCTTTGATGAGGCCGAAGAGCATAACTGCCAACGCAATGGCCGCTGCGATGACCTGCCCCCAAACACCGAAATCAGTCCCGGCCTAATGGCCTCCACATGTCGTGATATTATGCATGTATCTGTTTCGTGACAAGTTCATCTCTCTAGGCCTAGGCTGCAAAATCCTACTAAACATCAAATAAAGGACTGCCGACAAAACGGAGTACACATTAAAGTTCCCAAACAAAAAAGCTAACAATCCCATGCCTGCGCACACATTCACGCGTCCGCCCGCCTGCCCGCCAACCATCGAACCCACCCACCCACCCCACCCACCCCACCTACCCAGCCAGCCACACCCACCCGCCCGCCCGCCCGCCCACACATGCACGAATCATGCATGTGGGCAAAACTTAGCGGTTCATTGATCCCTGCCTGACAGTTAAACTTTTAGTAGGAATGAATCTCTAAACTCTAAAAACATACGTCCGAGGGTATGCCGGGAAGCGCCAACAATAAGCAGCACATACCAACCGGAACACATAACGCGAACACCCAAAATACTTACCCGCACTCAGGCGCATAAACAAGGGAACACAACCACACACACACACACAGACGCAAAACACGCGTGGACTGCAACAGCATCACACTGTAGAACGCGCAAAGCCAGAGTTCAATGCCCAGTACCCGCCAGCTTGGGTCCTACAGTACCAAGGATCGTGCCGCATTCTTACGAATATCGCTAATGGCCATCAATTTCACCTGATCAGCTCACACTGTGAGTAACTAACCGCTGCTATCGTAGGTTCTATGACCGTCCGTCCCCAATCACCCACGCAAACGGAGACATCCTTGGAAATACTCCACACAAACAATTGCTGAACCACCAGTCAATTAAAGGCGTCAGATTGTCTCTGGCCTATTTGCCTTGACCAGCCAAATATGTTGACTCCGAATTTCCATCAACCTTTCGGACTGCTAGAGCGGGCTGCTTCTCAAAAAGTGGCCCCGTCTCTTCTAAGTGGGACACGGCTCCTATAAATCCACAGGTTCATTCAATCATCTGGAAGCACAATCATTCCAAAAGCGGAATACAATTGCAAGCCGGCAAGGGGACTTCATCATGAGTCTGTTAGGAAAGGAGGGGGACTATATGTACATGATGTTCACCAGAGGGTCCACAACAAATCACATGAACCAGAAGCAAACACCGTGCATTGCTTTTGCGACATGACCTATGGGGATGCTCATGTGCCGCCAGCCTTCAATGATTCAGCTGAGGAAAACCGAGGATTCTTCTACAAAACATAAAGCGAGCTCGTCCTCCCTAACAGAACCATCCATTACCAGTCTCATCAGTTGCTCACACGTTCAGGAGAAGCAATCATCTGGCACTGGGTGTGTGCCTCAACCATATACTCGTCTTGAGCCGGAGCAGTGCCAATATGCAAAAAACATGCAGTATATTGTGTTTGGAGGAATTTACGCTGGGGGCACATGGGTTTCTCTTGACATTTGAGCGCAACACCGCATCGCCGCCAGCCTTGGCGATGGTCGACAAAGAGATGACGGGAAGGCCCAGAATGCTGTGGGTCTTGTACTCCTGCAAGGATGCTATTTCTTCATCAGAAATGGGAGAGGGGTCATTTGAAGCTAGAAGAGGCTCTACAACTTATATTGGCAAAGTACAACAACGCCTTTGCTAGGTAGGGATGCATTCTGCCAATAATTGGGAATGAATGGGTCCAAGCGGTGCAATGTACCAACATAAGCAACTCTTCACGTAGCTTCTTTTCGCGGGAGCCCATTAATCAACGGGCATTGGGTGGCTTCATCTCAAATCCAGGTTAGCTTGCAACAAGTGGATTAAGAGATTCACCTGTCATGCACCTTGGACAACTCTTGCAAACACGTCAAGTTAACTCTTGTACGTTCGTTGTTCGTAGCATGCCACCGCTCAACGTGGGCAAACAAGCTGGTGGGCTTGCTAGTAATATGAATGAACCGACAGGCAAACAGCATGTGACATGGAATCAACAGGCTCAAATGCACTTGAAATGAACCGAGGGACCTGAGGAAAGCTGCCAGGACCATGGATACCTTGCGAACTAGGCTGGTCTTTGTCTGGGATAGGTAAATCCTGCTCTCGACACGCATACGTACAAAAATTGAAAAACCCCGCGTCAAATTCCCTAAATGCTAAAGCCTACAATGCGTTTACTGCGGATCTTCCGTTCAGGGTTGGAAGCTGCTCCAAAGACCGAATCAGGGGCATAATTCCTTTCGGGAAAGCACCACATTCTAAAAGCATGCTCCCAATCCAACCGTCCGGTGTTGTCCCGACGCCTTGACAAAATTAAGCCACGTCCAAATCGTAGAGCACCTCCCTTTGAGGGGCATCGGCCATTTTCAGGAAACAAAGGCAGGCTCAGCATCGGCATGGCCACATGGCGATTTTGCGCTCCTTTTTGCTCCACTCTCTTGGCGGTGCGTAGGGTTTTCAGGTGCTATAGGATTCAGGCAGCTCTTAGTTTCTTGGATGTTCATCGTTTTGGCTGACCAAACACTTTGCTGCTGGGCAACGTCAATAAGGTGACATGCGTTACCTTCATGCGTATGGGTGTGTGCTTTTTTAAGGGTACCCAATTCAGCTTGGTTTACAACGAAATGGAACGCCTCCCCTGTTTAGAGGGCTTCAACCTTATGACCGTTTTCATGCACCAGTCTTGATCTCGGCTACCCCTGAGCTGTGGGCTGAGCATCCAAGTATCAAACAACTCGCCGACTTACCATCGCCGGCAAACCTTGGCACCAAACACGAAACCCAGTCAGTCTTACCCCTGAAACATGACCCGTTGAGCTTGCTGGCAAGCTCAGCTTTTCCAAAAGCCTTTGAACAAACAGTTTGCAGAGTTGCGCTGAACAGCTGCCTGTCACGTTCTGTCAAAGCAAAGTTGCATCAACTAGAGATTTTGCGTACTGGGCTTGACACGATCATGCAGCATAGGGACATATTTAGGTGTTTTAGTGTGATCCCAAAGTGCCATTGAGCCGGAAGTTACTTGGCAAACTTTGCCAACTCGTGGTGTGTACCGTGCATGAACACTGATCGGCAGCCTTATGCGTTGCCAAATGACTTGCTTCATTGGCCGCGCAAGTGCTATGTACCTCCAGAACTCGTTTGATAACGCTCAACAAATACGCACATGTACATAGCAAACAGCTGCTTTGACAACCAATCAGCCGAAGCAACCTATGGCTTTATGTCCAAGGGGAACCCCCGGAGAGCATTCCCCCTTACTGTCTTGTTCAGAACCAAAAACACCTCTTCCCTAGCCAGCCCCGCAAAAAAGCAACCTGTTGCTCTCTCAATCGCCACGTGCGGAAACTTAGCTAGGCTAAGCCGAACTATCTGGTCGAGAAGGGAACGGCAGGAACCCCAAAGGGCCAACCAGACATCTTTGTCCCTCAAATCAGGTCGAAGTAGCTCAAAGTCCACTGGCTCAGCTCGCCAAGTCCCTGCCACCCAAAAACCCCTGGGCTGTGGCTTCTCCTCTTGAGCCATTTCGTTGCTGACCTCGCTTGACTGGGGACATGGTCCAAGCAAGGGTGCCTCATGGGTACTTCCACGTAGGTGACCCATGCTATGATTGATAGAGCATAGCTTCGTGACTCAACTCCATGCTACCAATCTGCATGGTCAACTGGCAAATGATGTAAACCCAAACAGGGTTTAACGGGAGCCATTCTGTTCATATTGGAGACGGACAATCTGGAGCAGTTGCGATACGCACAAAACAAACCAAGTGTTGCTTTTGAGTAAGATGGAAGCAACTTGTGAAGAACCATAAACACCTGTCAGTGACCTCAAATGGGGAACGTCAGCAGTTTGCCAACACCCCTCATGGTGTGCTGTAGGTTGCCAAGTCCAGGATAACTCTTCTCAAGCAATGGCTCACTCAACTGCCAGGAACTCAGCTGCCTGCGCAATTCCGATGCGGGCCCATTTTCAGAGGTCCGTAATCTAAAATCCTGCCAACTTCAGTAGGAAAAAGGGCAGAGTGCAACAAGAGGGGAAGAGCAAAAAGAACGTTCAAACGTCCACAAAAGACAGAGACTGCCAGAGATAGTTGCCACCTCAATCAGCTGTTGCACCCGCTCTCAACAAATATTGATCGCCGGCAGCAGAAGGTTGGAACACTCGCTGAACGTCCGGAGGATACTGAGTGTCAAAATTGACTGGACCAAAGAATGCACACATAACACTGGAATAGAAGGGCAGCATGCACTTTCTGTCCATGCTCAGTTTGACGCGGTGATGCAAGTTCCGGCCACCACTTCACACTCTCATCCGTGCGGCTTTGTCAAACGTGTCAGAACTGCATCACGCAGAGGATGAGACGCGCTGCAAGACAGAAAGCAAAAAAAACAGCGGAAGCTGCCCTTTGTCCATCGATCCAGCCTGGCTTCATTTGATGAGCTCCATCTCTTTTAGTGCCTGGGATTGGACCATGGCACCCTGATCTGCTCACGGCAAGCCAAACACGCAATGCGAACACAAACACACATCCCGATTGTGGAGTACTTAGTGTTCTTGGCCTGACTTAGAGCCCCTGCAAAAAGCCAACTTTTGGCAGCCAAAAGACGAAATGAAGGAAGCTCAACAGACTAAAGTGGCAAACATGGTTCGTTCACTCCATTTGCGGGACCTTTTCTCTCTATGAGTAAAGTATTGTGTTCTGGCTACCTGTCGTCAGCGTCCTGTCAATCCCGACCTTGTTTCATAATGCAGGAAAATGAGCAATGTCCCACATGCCACACATTCAGATTCTCGCCTAGTCTGTTTTTCACGATGTCCAAAACGCCAAGTCCAAGGATTATCGAGCAAGTGCCCCTCCAATCAGGAAAGCATAATGCTCAGAAAGAACACCAAATGCAAGCAGGAAACTGGGTGATAGCCAAAAATAGAACTGGGTGAATGAATGTTTGCATCATGCACAATCGACGGCTGCAATTTGTTCTACCCTATCCTCATATCCTTTTGGTTGGCTGCAGAAACCAAACAAAAAAGGCCACCATCAGCATCAGCCCCTTTGAAACTTTGACGAATAACTCATCACATCTCAAGAACTGAACGTATGAGCTTGGCTCGTGTTTGTTGCAATCCGCATGGCTCTTCTCGTCCGCAGCTATGCACGCAGCTCCGTGGCTCCGTGGCTCCCGCGCCTGTCGGGGCTCCGACGGCAGATCTGAGTTCTGCAGATCCTGGGCATAGGGCTCCAGCAACTCCCGCGCCTCGCAGCGGAAACTGGGCGCGGGACTCGCGCCCCAGATGGGCCTGGACCCCAGAATGGTGGTGTTCCTGCTGGACTCCGAGGATTCAAAACCATCCAAACAAGGGCTCCCTCAAAAAAACAATACACACCCATATCTCCTCGCCAATCACCGCGAGGGAAACTCACCTACAAACCACCCTTCCACGGAATTGTAGAAAAACGCACAGATTGACAGGGGGAAGTAAAACAGCTTCCGGCAAACAAACATTAATATTGAACGGTAGCCATATCTTCTCACACATTAACATCATGTTGGATGAAAGGGTATATGGTCTTGGCCGAGTCTTTCATTGAGAAAAAGACCGACCATTGCTTGAGCCTGCGGAAATAGTGGGCGATTGCTTGGCGAATAGGTTTTATTGAGAATTTGTTCGGATTGGTGCAAGGTATGCAGTCCAGTATATAGACATACATATACCATATTCGCATATATATATATATGTAATACCATATACGCATATATATATATATATATGTATACACATGTGTGTGCGTTTTTGCGGAACCCTTTTTTGTCGTTTGAAAGGAACACCAAAAGGAAACCAATCGTGTTTGTTCTTCTTCTTGCTTTATTGAGGGGATGTCCCTTCAAAAAGACATATTTAAAAAACAAATAACATATGAAGACGGGATTGTGCTTGTAGGTTCTTCGCACATGTGGGTGGGGTCCAATGCGTGCATATCCCCTGCATCACAAAGAGTCTATTTCTGGGCCCCTTTCGTCCAGTTTCACTGGACCCTCCGGCAGGAAGTAATCCCAACACAATCCTAGTTTCAAAGGCTGATTGTATCCCACAAATATAATAGACCCTCAATGGCAAATTTGGGCCTCCTTGGCGATTGATTCGGCCAGTGTTTTTCTTTAGCTAGGGCTTCATACCAGGGTTCAGGAATGGATTGCATTCAGCCAGTGTAAGGGTAAGGACTTGGAGACGCCTTGGCAATGTGCCGTCCCTTCACCGCTTCCGCCAAGTCGTCCTTGGCGGCCGGAAGAAAGTGAGAGTAGCCCACCTTCAACCATTTAGAGGGATCCCCTGTGTAGAGGCAAACCCAAACTGGAATGTGTCAGACTAGGGACTCGGACCCGCAACAACCACAAAGGTGGCATTTCTTTTGGTTTCCCTTAAAACGAAGGTGAAAGGGAAACCACAATTAAGATCCCTCGTTTCAACACGTACAAACACGTCAGTGACTGAGTGCTACTGGACCATCGCTAGAGGACTAAACCACATGGATGTGTGCACTAGCTTCTACAAAGTACCCAAAGAAGCGATAACATTGTGGGGTGTTGCTGAAGAGACATTGCAGGACAATGCGACTTGCTTTCGAATACGTGGGTGCAGGCTTTAACGCCTTCCCATCAACAAACTAGTGACCCAGTTAACCTCAAGATCTGCAGGGTTTCCTGTGCTACGTCGCCTGGGCGAAATACATCGCCACCTGTGGTGAACCACGTGTGAATAGACATATTCAACAATATATAGTGAAAAAAACAAGCAGTCAGCACATGGACACTGAACTGTGGCCCACCCATGTCTTGGGCAATCTCCAAGTCTCTGCTACGCTGGACCCATTGGTTGGGTATGTTGGTATGCTAACTGATTGTTGCGCACTAAGTATCCATGCTGTCTGCCGAATGTGGGGGAGCCTGGTCGCCAACCTCCTGAGGTAGTCCGCGGCAATTTGGCTACGTTGGCTGAGACACCGGGGGGGGGGGGCGGTCCGGTTGCTTGGTGACGCACTATTCAGCTTTCTGTTGAAAGCCAACACAGGGCCTCCAGCGGGACATAATTACCCACAAGAATTGCAAAGAAAAGCAAACAACCAGAGAGAAGCTGCGGACCATAAAGATGGACCAAACATGAACCAATGAACCATGAGTATATGTCCAGGTGGAGCATCCCAACGGTTCGCCCTTTGAGGCCGCGATTCGACGGTCGACTGCGCCATCACTTCCTGCGCAGTCGACGGTGCAAGCCACGAGCACAAGGAGAATTGGTAAACATATTGCTTGACAATAGCTGCTGTTTTTTGCCAGTATGAATGTATTTGATGTAAAATTCATACATCTAGTCATATAATATGCATGCGTCCAAGTGTCGGGATATCATGCACAAATGCGTATTCACTCCATTATGTTTGGCCATGGCTCCGTGCCGTTGGCTCTATCCTACGATGAAAGGGCATCCTGAACATACTCAAATAACTACACAGGGCCAAATCAACACTGGTCTCTTACAGCGACATGGTCCCAGTATGAAAAAAAACAACGCAGCACATAACCTGTGTGACCAGGCTGGTCAAACATAATGTCACACAGAGCGCCGGATCGTCTTCCAAAACGTGTTTGGCGACTCCAGCCTGAATGATGTGGTGCTGAATCCAAGGGTTATCTTTGTCAAAAGGTGTGTTGGGTAGATCGCTGTCCCGCTGTTTCCTCCATATTTGCCGTGGTCCAAAACTTATGCGCGCTACCAACTGCGAGAAGTTGTTTTCCCGGAATACGGCGGATGCTATGCTGAACGTGACTTGGTGTTGGGGATGAGTTCTGTCCCTTCGTTGAACATGTCCTAGCATTCCGAGCTTTCTGGTTTCCAGCATTGCACTGAAGGGACGGGTTGTTTGACCCAGTCCTTGTTGCGGTGCCTGGAGAATCTAGTTCGCTCTTCTGTGTATATACTCGTTGTTGCTGTTCTGCCTTTGTATGTACTTGGTGTGTAAGTTAAGAAACTTACAGAGCCTTTCAATTGGAACGTTTGTTTTTTAGAAGGATTGCAGCTGAGTCTGCTGGTTCCAAAGCCTCTAGCCATACAGAACAAGTCAAGTTGCTGCAGGATAGGCATGGCAGAGATGCGTTCTTTGATCTCATGCTTTGGATTGACCCTCTTGCCAGTTTCTGCTCCCTTGTACACTGCAGTGTCTACAGACGTCGTCGTCGCCGCTTGTAACCTTGATCGGCCAACGTGCGTTAAAGGGATGTAGCAGCATTTGCTTTCGTTTAGTCTCATGTGGAGGTAGTCGGACTTGGCAAAGCATGGATGGCATAAAGTGCGATTATTATTCTATTAACGAAAACCATGGGTCCTTCGCAGCTGTTTGCACAGAGCAGCTGTGCTTGCGTAGTCACCCGGATTGGCATGTGGATGACATCACCCCGAATGGCAAATGATGACAATTCCCCCCATAGCGGTGATTCAATTACTCAGGTGAAAGAGGCTTGCATGCAACCATGATAACCACGAATTAAGCCAAACAGAGCTGAATTCAAGCTGTACCAAATTGTCGCAATTAATCGTCAATACTTACAATGTTCCAACACAAAGGACGCTGAAAAGTTGTAAACAACATATTTGACATGGATAAACATGCTGGCCAAAAGCAGCTCTTAAATTAACGCGGCATCCTACAGACAAGTTTTCAGTCCAGGTTAGTCGGTGGCATCCATGGTATATCTGATAAGCTTTGCTTGTGAGCTGTTGGGGGTGCAAAGTTGCACTGCCATCCTGAGCAAATTGCGTGATCAGAATTCAGAAAAGACACATTACAACCAACTCACCACTGTTTTGCCTGTTTCCAACGGGCAACATCAGATCGGTCTCTTTGACTTTCACGTGAACACCACCAAATGGATTTCGAAGCATTCAGATGGAACCGCGAAAACTTAACCCAGGCAGGCGAAGAACAGAGTGAGAGGTTCCGCCGCAAAGCCCCCCCGTAACACGCATATCTAAACCTTTTCCTCAGAAACAAGCCGAATCCGATTCCCATCCCTCAGGCTGAGACATTGGGCATGAGATTTTGTCAATTGGCTAAGGATTGGCTCATGTTGAAGGCCAGGCAACAAGAAGCCATTGCTGGTGGGACCAATGAATTACTTTGACACGCAGAGATCGCAACCAGAGAGTTCTTGAGGGTTGGCTTTTAAAGGTAGCTCAACATGAAGCTACACATCTGGAGGAACCCTGAGTTGCAGCGCATTTGTCCGGCCCTTGTCTCCATCACTACTTTCTCACTTCGGGGCTTCCATTGGTGCAGAAAGTGGCAACCTACCTGATTTCCCGTCCTTGGAACAAGCAAAGTGGACCAAACCTGATAGGGGTCAGGAAAAGCTCAAAATACCCATGCCCTTTTGGTTTGTAGTTGGCAAAATCAAGCAGGACCCCAAAAGCCACCAGGTTGTGGAGGAAACTTTTGTTTTGGTGACCCCCCTCTTGGGTCCCAAATGAAATTTCCAGGGATGGGCTGCACTTCTTCGCCCCACCTCCCGCTGTCTCAACAGACGCGGCTCTGGAGCTCTCGCCTTCTCCAGGGAGGTCCAGGTCTCCTCGGCCGCCCAAAAGGGCAGCACCTTCAGCGCCTGCGCCTGGGAGCTGCAGGCCTCCAGGAAGTCGCCGCCTGAGCTGCGGGTGGATCAGAGACAACTTGGCTTCGGTCTCGTTTTTTGTTTCCCGGTCAAGCTGCAGAAACCAAAAAAAGAAAGAGGCGTCCTCACCGAACCGTTGCACTCGGATCGCGCAGCTGGGAGCCCGGGCATTTCAGCTGGGACGCGGACATGTTAATCAAGGCTCTCGGATAGTGCGGCTGGCACCTCGGAAAAGCGTTGATCCGCCTCACTTGAGAGTTTCTCAAAAAGGATCCCTTCTGGTTGGTATCCAAAACCTGTTGGGCTCGTCCTGCAATCTTGTTACTTCCAAATGCCCCTCAATGTTCCAGACGTAACTGGCCCCCTCCCTCATTATTCCCCTGCCAAAGCACGAGAATGCAATCGCAGTGATCTTGCCACAAGTGGAGGAAGCCAGCCAAAAAGTTGTCCTTGTAAACACTGGCTTGCTCAAGATAGGGAATATTTGCAGCATCACCATTTGCAATTTTGTAGTGGGACACCACTAAATAAGTGAAACCTCTACCGTCCGGCAGAAGGATTAAGGCTTGAACAAGCTAGTGCACGCAGATGTAATGTAGAGTGGAGCAATCCGGAAGACTCATACAGGGTTCGATCCTCATTAAAGTAAACGCTGACCCAATTTAGATGATAAATGGTTTTGTTAAACCCCCCTTTGTTTTAATTGTCAGAGAATCCCATGGATTCTGGAAACACTCCAATTTGTCCTCAGGCAACCAATGGAATACATTGACTCCCCATTGTTTTAAGGCTTTGGAATCCCGGACAGATCTTCGGACGGATCGACCAGGGCTCCCGGCTGAAGGGCCTGGCGGTAAGCCCGTACTGCGAGCTCGGGCTTGCCCGTCATCGACAGCACTGCACCGAGCATGTTCCACCTGGACACGCCACAAAAAAACTTGTCCGGCAACCTGTATCTTAAGGTTTTGTTTCTGAATTTTGGGCCGGAAAGGGGCGTCTTTAGTCAGAGGGGGTTCTGGGAGGTGCCCCCCCAAAAAAATGAGAGGATTTATTTGGCCAAACCTCGTGGGCGCCTTTAAAATCGTATTGGCTGGTAGTCGGCTGGGCAAACCGGGCTTCTTTAATCAGAGGGGGTTCACTAATCACGTTTTACCATTATCTTACATTTCAGGGACTAAATAAGTAGCAGAGACGGACTCAGCATGTTTCTAGGAATACCCCGTGCGATGTGTTTGCCATAAGTTTGTAAACAAGTAAATTGACAAAGCTACTACCAATACTTTTGCAATACCAACTCCTGTTATAGTCTCAAGGGTTGCCATTCCAGAAACCCAAATTCAAAATAATGGCTAGCTTATTACAATTTGATTTGAACAAGGCTCGACAAGCTACCCCCCCCCCTCAAGGCAAGCCCCCCCCGAAAAACACAAAACCCCTCTATCAAGTCCCTCTCCAGCCCTGAAACATATGACAATGCAATGTTTTGTTGCTTTCCTATTTATTTATTGCAGTCCTATTTGCAAGACAGGTCCACTCAGGAACGAACCGGAGAGGACTGGCCAGGTCCGGGTTAATCCGAGGGGGCTTAGGGGGAACCCCCAAAATCCGGCTGTCCCTTCCCAAACCTTGTGGACGGGGGGTTGGTTTACCAGTCAAGTTCCACCATGAGTTTTGGAGGAGACCCCAACCGCTCCCAAAAGCTGATGGTTGAGTGCTTGGCTTCAACATCAGACCCTGAGGAAGATGGCGTAGTTGGGATGGCGGCAGACTCCCCAAGAATTCCGAAAAACGGGTGCCAAATGGCGTTGGTGTCCCTTTAACCCAGCATTTGGAGGGCATCACATTTAACACTTCCCTTTCCTTGGCAATTCTGGGTTGCACTGAAACACCAAATGTTCCATCCTTCGGTTTGGTCATCCTTTTGGCTGGGAAGAACTATATGGTGCATATTGATGGAGAAAATCCATTTCGCAGCAGTTGGTGTTGAGAGATGTCTATATAGCCGGCTGGCAAAAGGGCTTGCGAGGCCACCAAACTGGCGTCGACGCCAAGATGTGGTTCATGGTGAATTGGCGTGGCATCAGAACGGGTTTCATCCATCTGAACTTGTGCGTCAGGATTTCGCAACCACAGGGAAGCAGTCCCCGCTCCCTGTATTTCCCTATCAACCCAAAAGGAGACTCAAGTGGCGACCAAAAGGTGTCCCGGCTGAAGAGGAAAACTTGGGCTTCACTCAAGAAAGGCCGAGAGCCGTCCCCTGTGCCTGGTGCTGGGGCGCTGCCCAAAGTACCCCTGCTCGGCCAGCAGGGCGCCCGCAAAGCACGGGACCACCTCCGCCTCAAGTGCTGTGAGCGGCGAGCTTCCCCCTAGCAAATGGTCGAAGACCTTTGTTTGGTGGGTTATGGACAAAACATTTATTTCCAAACGGTCTGAGGGGCTAAGAACATGCCGTTTGTTGAAGGTACCCTTTTTGGGGTTGTTTTGAAGGGAAACCAGAGGGGAATCACTGATTTTGGGGGTCCCTCAAAGGACTGTGCTGGTGGCTCTGGTGCAAGTGCGATTCCAGGCTAATATGAATGGTGCTTCAGGGTGGTTCCAGGTGTGTGGCTATCTGTGTTCCAACAAAATGACCCACAATATGTGCGATGTGTTCTCGGATCATGGAGTTCCGGGAAAAAAAGGGGAAAAAAACACAATTCACGTCCTGACTTGATTAGCCAGAAAAAGTCTTTGACTGTTTGTCTACCACCGAAATAGTCTTCCCAACAAGTTGGAAGTCCATGAACTCAGGGAGTGAGACAAGGACCCCCCCCCATGGGGTTTTCGTGATCCAGCCCATATTTGGAAGCCATCCGCACCTTGGCCTCCAGCAGGTAGAGCAAGCCCACAGCCACCGCGGCGTCCGCGCTCTGAGCCACACATGCGGCCCCCGCTAATTTGCGCGCAACTGGAAGGCTTGAAGTGCCACCAAGGACCATCAAGGGGCAGAAAATCAGAAAATGTGTTGGAGCAAACTTGCCACACTTTTCCACAAGCTGGTAAAAGGCAAGCCCTGAAGGTGCTAACCCATGAGTCACGGTCGTTGAGCCCAGGGCTTCCTTGTATGGGAAATCAACCCCTTGGATTCTATCTTGGTCAGTCAAACACCGGACTCCGGCGAGCGCGCACGCGCCTGCTCTTGCAGCTGAAGCAATCGCTCTTTCAGCTCGAGATCAGAGCCTGGCGCGCCGCATTGGCGTTTCGCCCCATGGACCATGGGCTTTATGGTGAGTTGACTCTGGAAACATCCAAATCACACATGGGTGTGTGTGTGTGTGTGTGGTTGCGTCAAAATCAGGGATGGAAAGAAACCTCCTCCAATTGAGCTCATTTTGATGCCCTTTCAAGCACAGCCACAGCCCCGAGCCCACCAATTCATGTGGAGCCGCCACTTGGTTTGGACCCCGTATTTGGGAGCTCTGAATTCGTCTTTGCTGGGGTCCAAACAAGTAAATTAAGTTTCAGCACGAGCCGGCAAGCTTTACAAAAGTGCTCCCCAAGCCAAGGGCGCTAGATAGTCCAGCCAACATGAGTGGCCAAAGCTTCTTGTGACCTGACTGTCCTTCAGCAAACATAGGGGTGCTGGCTCGCTTGACGGAAGCCCGAGGCTGCGCGACAAATGATGCGAAGCCGAGGGATTGCCGAAGGATTCTCGTAGTTGCCGATGTCTCTGCTTGACATTTGACTTTCCCTTATAGCTTCTATCAGTGCGAAGTGCGGTAAACCAGTTTGTCCACCGCTCACTTCATAACAGCGCCGGGTTCTATCCTACGAGATGCTCACCCTTTTCAAGGATTCCAAGCAAACACAGCAAGCAAATTGAGTGATCAGCCTGCTGGCGGCGCTTTGCCAGTGCGGCTTGACCATTATCAGTGTCGAGCATGCTGTGAATCCTCTGCCGTTCTGGTCGCATGACACCACGCAGGTGCATGCGTGATCCTATGACTTGCAAGCCTAAGGTAGCGGACACGGCACTGACGAAACAGGCGAGGACCATGAGTGACCGTGCTTGTCAACAATAACGATGCTCAAGATGTAGAGAGGGACACCTCCAACAAGCAAGACATTGATTGCGTGTGATTCTCAACTTGGGAACAAATCAGGGGACATGCATCTCACAGTCTGACCTGCGTGGGTTGGCTACTTCTCTTCGCTTCTTTTATTATTATTTTTTTGGGGGGGAGACAATAGCTTGAATCTCCACAGTACCAGGGCAACTTGCCAAGTCAGCCGACCTGATGCCAGGTTCCCAAAAGGGGCGTTCGGAAGCCTGACAAAGGGACCACGTCCCTTCACGTCGAAGAGCCTCCATGGGCTGCCACTACCCACTTCTCCAGGCATTCCGTAATCTCAGCCTGTGGGCGCCAAACCCGAGCAGCTTTCAAGGCGAGCAATTTTTGGAGGGCTTCACGCAATGCCCAAACTTTGCAAAGGCCCAGTGAACTGGCTTGTTGGAAAGACCAAACGGTGGGTGGAATAGGGTGTGTGGACTTCCAGGGGAGGACAACAGGAAAACCAATGTTGAGGGCTATACTTTGAGAGCACCACGCACCCACATCGGTTACATGGGTAATCATGGTCAAGGGCCCCCAAGCAGCGGACACCACTAAAACACCGCCAGGACACAACCAAATCACCACAGGGAGTGCCACCAAAACACCTTGAGGATACGCAAAACACCTGCAGGATACCACCCAAACCGGCTAGAAATAGTGCCATACCATGCACACGATGGGCCGCTCTTCTGCTGAGAGCAAAAATCGATGCGCCTTCAATAGCTTCATTTGTGTGAAGAATGTTGCCACGAACTAGTCGTTCGGTATCGTTGGGTGCCGGTCACCGATTCTGAACGTGCCACAGCCGCTCACTTCCCGGCGCTTCGGGAGGTCATCGGTCGTCGGTTTTGGGATAGGCGCTGATATTTACAGCACGGGAACACCGCCGGGAAATCCGAGTTCAACCGTTCTTGACCTGCCCACAATGACATCAAGGACATGACATAGCTCTTTCATCCCACCCTCCAAGGTTTGAGTCCCTGTCTTTCCCCCTAAACATTTCAAGAAACCCAACGGTGATGTTTAAAATGACCGAAAAAGGGAAATACCAGGAACCCAGGAGGCGACTTGGTTCAGAATTCCCGCCTGCGCGTCCGCGGCCTCGTTCAGCAGACAAATGGCCTTCAGCAGCAGCGCGTGCTGCCTGTGAGCAAGGCCGGGGTTCATGAACAGCTTTGTCTTTTGACACCTTGATTCAAAATCATTGGGAACCAAAAGCTTAAAAGGCTCGTGGACTCGTGGACCTAAAAGGGCGCACTGGGCGATCAAAAATGCCAAACTGCTAAACCCTTAATAAGGTCTTGTTGGCTGATTTTTGAGGGTCCCCTATATACAAACAACCCTCCGTGGTTGACACGGCGCAGGCAAGCTTAAACTTGAGCCCCGCTAAAAACGGTGGTATTCATTTTGGCTTACCTTTCTGACAGTGTACCAACACACAAATAGCCAAACCGTCACACCCTCCCCGCGCAATTTTCCGAGGCGAGCGACCGGCCTGACCGGGGCCAAAGCCACTTCCTCCTCCTCGTCCTTTGCCGGTCGCTCCAGGGCCTTGGCCGCGAGGCTTGTTGCTTCCGTTTGCTTGCCTGCAACAGCGCTGGGGGCCAAAACAGGGTCACAGTCACAGTTGACTTTATGTTGTCCTGGTTCACAAGGTGGCAAGGGACCCTTAGGGTTTTCAGGATCCTCAGCTTTGCTTTCAAGACACCTGCAGTTGATTCACTGGGGCATTCTAAACATCTTTCGGCATAAGGTTGGGGCTTCGGGGGAAAGCAAATTATGCAGCAAAGGGCCGCGGCGGCCTGCTGTTGATGGCGGTGTGTTTGTACTCATCGATTTGCAAAGGGTTGCATTTGTTGAAGAACATGTACAAGAATTATGGCCTGCTTTCCAGGCATTGTGTGTACACATTGCTTCGCACACTGCATCATCAAGCTGAGGCCTGGCTGTCAAACATTTCCGTGTCACCACAGTACCACAAAGGCATGCAGAACAAGGGAGCTGAAGCTATACTCCGTGATACAAGCAAAACGTTTAAAACACCTTAGCGCTGCCTCTCGTTATTGGATGAACTGATGGACTGATCTTTCAGCGCCTCAAGCAACCTGATGCAACATGATTGGCTTTGGGGAGGACGTCTTTCCTTGACACATGGGACCCTCAACCCTGTTGTTCAAAAGGCGCCCGTCCTTCCTGCTCTTCAGGCAGGCACTCTAGCTAACCAATTGTGGTTATGACTGGCAACCAAGACATGCGGTAATATTGTTCCAGTTTAGTCTTAGCTGTATGCTGCATTGATGAAACAGTCGGAAGAAGAGTGAAGGCATGCCAAAACCAAAGTGCGGAGGACCTTAAGGTGTCGTCACTGCCACAGTTAAGTCGGTGAGCCTCCAATCTTGGCCTGGGGGAGAATTCATCTGAGCTCGGCACCGTGTTGAAACACCGAAGCGCAAGGCGGTCGATGTTAAGATCCATCAGCAACGCACCATACTCCAAAGCGTAGGTCAAATGTGCCAACCTCAGAACCGAAGGAGTCATCGTGTCTTTGCGTTATTTATATGAATATCTATACATATATATATATATATATATTGCGGGGCCACTTGAGATCCCCTTTGGGTTGAAAAAGTCGGGGGGGGGGTGCTATTTCATGCTTGCCCTTAACCCAGAATAGCTCCACGAGTATGAATCAGTGCATCGCATCGTGTTGTGGGAGTGAACGTGTTAGAGTTTGCCCGTCCATTGTTTGGCAATGAGACAAACTCCATGTATCAGATTCGGGGCGGTGTCTGGCAAGTGGCGTCAACGGCTCCAAAGCCAACATTCTTTTCAGTGGGGTTGATGCAAAAGACAAGCACTGCCTTGCGCAGTGGGAACAAAGGCCGCGGGCCGTGCTTTCTGTTAGCTTTACGGGGAAACCCACCAGCATAAGAACGGGCAACTGCCTGACATCTTCAGAGACTCACACATGCGTCCTGCATTCTCATGTATCACTGCTCAAATATTCCACCAGAACACTAGCTCGAATGCTATCTCTGAGACGCTTGAAGGGGCCAAAGGGGCCAAATACCAAACTTTGATATATCGTGCCACACGAATTCACGCAATCTAAACGTGGTTGGTTGCAGGTCGTGGCACGTGATCGTTGCAGCTTCATCTGGCAGCTCCTTTGCCCCATGGGAAGCCAATGCAAGTGTGATCTACCCGGGAAGGGTAAAGGGAAAGAGCTGTGAAATGCACAGCTGGCTCGGCTCTACCGGTTTCAGCTAGGCGCTTCGAACCATGATTCAACATAGATTGACATCAGCCCAACCCTCGACAATCGCAAGGTAATAAGCTCAATTCGCTGACAAGTGGGAGATTGAGTTCCAAAAATGCAGACTTCCAAAAAGGAGGTTTCAAAGGCCTCTGCAAATCCAGTGCGTATTCGGATCCCTCCTGCTCCTGCTGGTGAATGCCCCCCCAAACCCATCTCCACAAACGATATCATAGAGCAGCCTTGAGCCACCCATCATCCCTGCCGTCCAAAACAATCCGCGAAGTAACGATTTCAAGATTGGCACCATGTTGCTAAAACCCAACCCCGCACATTTCACAAATCAACTCAATCAGTTGTATCTATGTTTCCTGCCACTCAGACTATTTGCTGCAATGCCTTAACATAATTCATGTTGACATGACCAGTGGTTTCAAAACCATATTTTCTGTTGACGGCCTTGGTCAAGCAAGGGTTACATGATCCTTTTAAGTTAGTGCTTTGAGCCCGCGTCAGAGGTGCCCCGAAAGAACCACCGTTGTCAGGTGAGGGATGTTGTTTTCACGCCATGTTTCAAGGACTTCCGTCTAACGCTGAAAGAGCGAGTCGGCCTTGTGGCCTTACGCAGGGATATTGTGACATTGCGGGGGAGCACTTTTGTATACTAATGTTGTTTAAAAGGGACGCCAGCGAGAAACCACCACAATTTTGGAACACTGCCAAACTTCTGTCCAAGAAAGCCTCACAGTTTAAAGAGACTGTCTCCCCTTTGCGTTGCTCTGAAAATCCCAGGGACCAGGGAGGCCTAAATCGTACCCTACAAACAGCGCACCAAAAGGACACACACACACACATCTAAGTTTGGCAACCAAAAGGTGATGTTTCAAGGAGAAACATAGGGATCGCAGCTTGTGAGGGTACCAAGTTTCAACATGAAAACGTTCCCTCATCTAGCCAACCCTGAAATACGACAGATTTTCTGCGACCCCTGCACAGCGAAGCCAACTCAAAAGGATTGAGGGCAAGAAGCTCGCCAGCAAATCCCCAAGCCGCCAATCCGAAGATTACCCGACTGATTGGATTGAGGGTCCACATGGGTCCACCATTCTGAGAAACTCCCAATTGCCCTGCTTTGAGGGACACCGACTTTCACCGTTCAAACCAACGCATCCCAAACAAAATCAAGCCACCAATCCAACCACCAAGACAATATCCAAAAGCATCCATGGGCAAAAAATCCTGACTGATGCGCAAAGAACCCCGAGAATGGTGGGTTTCCTTGTAAGTTTTCCCTTTGACACCCACCAAACCGTTGGGTTTTTTCCACCAAAAGCGACGCCCCATCCCCCCGGTCCGGTCCCAGGGGCCAGTTCTCTTCTTGGGCGCTTTGTCCCATGGCCGCCTCCAGCGCCTGGGCGGCATCTTCCAGGCGCCCGCTGCTGAGGAACTCGGGCACCAGGTCCTGCGCCACGCGCCTTTGTTTCAAACCAAAACCGACCCCAAGCCGACCCCAAGCCGACCTAAAGCCGAGCTGGTTCGACCAGATCCTGCGCCTGATGCGACGGATTCTATTACGCGCCCCTGATTCAGAGAACGTTCCGTTTGAGTCTGGGCATGGTGTCTGACGAGTCAGCTTGGACCGCCGGTGGAACAATCAAGAGGATACGTCCAAAGCAAAAGGCCTTGTTTCTGGAGTGGGTTCCTGACACGCCGATCCCATGCATGTGTGTATATATGTATATATGTAAATAATAACCCTAGGAATGTGTGTGTGTGTGTGCGTCCGCAGTATGCAGCTTACATTCATTGAGCATACACATGTAAAATTGAATTCAACCATTTGCTTCACCAGTCAAATCTAAACTGTGTACACACCTCATAAGGCGGCAGTCGCCCCATCGAATCGCTCCTGTGGCCGCTCAGCGGTTTCGTAGGGGTTCTCCTGGGTCGGGATAACTCGTGGCAGCTCACAGAGTCACTCTCCAGCCTTAAACCCTGTCATGCCAACCACCATTGAAACAATGGGGGTCACTAATATGACCACCATTGTTTACCTCGGCTCGGGAGTTCCGTCATCCAAATTGGGCAACCATTGTTTAGATGGGGGTTGAATGCTACAGTAAACATAGCAGGCACCATCTTTCCCACCAGCACCAGCAACGCATTGGAGACGTCCAAGCAAAACGATGTTCATTCCGTCAACAAGCGCGTAAATTCTGGAAAACACCAAGTGTGTAAGCGTGTGCACAATCAACCAAAACACGTAGAGCCAGCCAGATTGCGACTACTACCTGTCACCTTGCACAAGCAATCGTGGGGGTATGCCGAAATCTGTTGAGAAGAAAATCGCCTACCCACAAGCATCTTCCCCATTCAGTCAAACAAGCTGGCTCTGCTTGGGATTCCTGAGATGGCACTCGGCATTCTGGCTTCCTGATAAGATAACAAAAGTAAACAGTGCAACGCACCAGTACAAAAGTCAAGGCCCAGCAGGAAACGTCTTAACCAAAAAGAAACAGAAACTCTGACAATCTATTTTTTTGGAAACAGGACCCTCAGCTAGAAGTCCTGACCGGAGTGTACCGATGTAACTATATCGAAATGGCACGCCACCAGGGACCGCCAAATATTTAAACCTGCTCGCCACCAGTGCTGCAACAAGGGCTGGAAGGGATTGATTTGTGTCCACGTACTGTACTAACAAGCCCCAGCCCCCAAGATCCCACCTGCCGCCTTCTGCGCCCGCCCATCCCCTGCCTTGCCGTCATGGAAGTAGATGTCGTCAAGGTCTCGTTTCGAGAGCCGCGACGGATCCTCCTTCCGCCCCTCCGAAGCGAAGCCAGGGCTCTTCTCGAAGAGGCCTCTGCGTCCGGTGGCCCCTTACGGTTGACACCGTCCAAATACGCATCGGCAGATGGGTGTCTTAAATTGGAGCTCGGGCCCCCTCTGTGAAAATTTGAGACATGCCCACTTTTGGAAGAGCGGCCCGTACAAGAAGTATCAATAGTCGTGCTTGGACTGTGGGCTGCACATGGCCACTGCTCTGCTTGGAGCACCACCACAATCCCAACAACTTACCACAATGCGGCAAACATTCATAGAGCACTGTAAGTTCACCCAAGCAAAGCCCCGGCAAACCCCACAAAGTCCCCTAAGCCAACCACCACCCATGAATGTTTGACCCATGCCTAGTGGCAGGGTTCGCCATGGTTGTGAGGCAACGAATCCCTGTATTTCCGACAATTATAGTTACCAACTTGATAAACCAGACATCCAAGCGGCATTTCAGTCTCCCTCTCCACCGAAGAGGAGGTATTTCTGTGTATGAAACACATGACCTGCCTTTACCTCCAAGTGAAAAATGTAGCGCAAGCCTCCTTCACCAGGGTTTTCCAATGCTGCTTACCCAGTGGTCAACAAGAAAACCATCAAACCTCGTTGCTCCATAATCAGGGTGTCAAAGTATGAACAATTATCCATCCTTTTCGGTTTCCCTGGAAAAGCTGGGCTATTAAACACCCAAAGCAAGAGACTGCCACCCACTGCGCGACTGGGTGTAAATCTTACCTCGGCATCCTTTGGCGGACATTACATGTGGATTTATGCGAATTTGAGCATAACCCCATCCACTACTATAGCAGGAAACCAGATACTTTCTTTGGACATCTGCTGCATTTATGCTGGGCCACCCAAACCCTGAACGAATAAAGTAAATGTATTATGAAATAATCGACACCACCCATGACAAAGGCACGTTTTCGAATCCAATACTAAACAATTATCTTGGCCCCCCGGGACCACGCCAAATTAGTACGGCGCGTTCGGCAGAACCATTTTCCCGCAGAAAACAACAATTGATCTTGGTTGCTGTTGACCCCTGTGCAAAAAAAAACACTGTTTGTGTGTTCAATGGAAAACCCTTGTTTTGCCAAAAAGTTAAAGTCTAAAGATCCAACCCAATAGCAAACAAGTAATTTCAACTCCGACGGACCTCAAACGTTATCTAATTTCCAGATGCGTCCTCAGGCTAAGCCGGCAGAGCGGCCACCTACAACTACCTTCTCTAGTAGCTCACCTTGCAGAACCCGTTTAATCTGAGGTTGAACCTTCTTGGAAAAATAGAGGGGGCGGGAGAGGGTCTATTAATCCGACATTAACATTACACCAAAAGCACATCCAGCAACGGGACATGCAAACACATGGTACATAGTTCTAGGGGTACCTTTCCCATTCTTTCCATGGATCCTTCTTTTCAGGAAACCATCAAAAACCCAGGGGAAACAGCCGGTCATTGAAAAGAACGATGGTTGAAAATGATATCCTAGAATAGTAAAGAACTATCCTGAACAGTAACTATCCTAGAATAGTAAAGCAACAAACCTATACTTGTTGAAAAAACACATATCCTAGAATGCAAATAGCCCCGCAACGCCAAGGGCGTCTCTCCGCTCCTTGGAAGGTCGCCTGCTCTTGCGCCTTTTCAGCGCGCAGCTTTTGGCGCAAAGCCTCAAGAAAACGGAAAAGGAGCCAGAGAACTGGTTGGCTCCACCCCTTGGACGGTTTTGGACAAGAAAAAGCAGTCATTGGATTCTGTGACCTGTCTTGATGGGCACCTCTTGCGTGGAGGACTGATTAACAATCCTGCTTGATTGAATGGGAGGGAATAATGATCAATATTGGGTTTGTTCCAGCCCTCCTGTTCATATGATGTGCGATCTACTTGTATCCCAGTTGCAACCGTTGGACCATGGACCCGAACACTAGAAAAAACATAGACACCTTGTTTGAGGTAGATTCCATTTTGAGTTGGTCCCAAAGCAACAAAGGCAGCACATTTGAAGCGTTGCATTGAATAAGTGGAGGCTGTGCTGAGGGAGGACAGCAACATCGTGAAGGGTAGACGAGAGGGGTCCGCGAAAAGGCAAACGCTCCTTTTTACGTTAGGTGTTTTGTTGGGCTCAAGCCACGTGAACCGATTCAGGGAACATCTTACTTGCGTTCAAACTTGCTTGTCTCGAAACGCAGAAAGGGCCTCCACTCACGAGGCCCGCCATTCTCGATCTAGCGCAGCTCCACAAACCAACTCCAGAACGTGCAATATGTTTGCCTTCACAGGGAAGAACAAGGAACATGTATCCCAACTCTACTCGTCTTTGATGGAACGCGAACTCCTCCGCAAAATGTCTAGTCCGCTGGGGTTCAGGGTGGCTCAAGGTTTGGCGGAAAATATGGAGGTCCTTAAAAGGGTCAGTCTTTACGAAACGAGCACCTTGACCATTTGCCTTGTCTCAGCTACAAAATGGGTCGGGCAGTGGGGACAACTGTCAAAAGGCAATTAAGATGAGGCCAACCAGTTGGAAAGGTCCCCAGTTTTGACACGATGCCCCATTGACCAACTTGCTTTAGAGTCTTAGAGAAGCCCCCGCAAGAACGATCACATTTAGCTACAAAAAGAGGGATCCACTGAAGCAACCCGTGGGCAGAACCTCATGCTTACCGCATACCAATTTGTGGCTGGTTGATCGTCCCGCTGAACATTCTTTCCGTCACTGATCGACCGAGGGCCCCTTGTTCCGCAGCGTTTTACGTTCAATGAGATGCAACCTCGATTCAGTCTGTAGGTCACAGTCGTTCACCCACTGGCGTATCGTTTTGCACCAGGGTTTGCCTTAGTTCCATGGTTGCAGCAGGTTGTTATTTCAGAAGACACTACCTGCAAGATGGAACACGCGGCAAACAACATCTGCATGCCATAGCAACATCCCGGCAGATCCAACAGTTTCCCATAAAACCAACAGAGGAAGCCTAGGAAGTCCATTTTTGATCATTTCTCAAAGGAATGCCATGGCCATTTTGTCTTCAACCCTTCCAGTCAAGTCCCAACGTCTAATCAACTTGAGGTATGCTAAACAAAACGACTAACATGAAAGTCGCCCCGCACAAATACGAGGAATGCCCTCATTTTCTGCCGTCGGCCACAAACTCAACTTTGGGCTGGGACTGTCTCAAGGTGTTGAAATGGATCGGAAGACTCGGTGTGGAGCTGGTGGCGACAGGCCATGATTCCTGATGTGGACAACTGCGAACATCTATTAACCAGTTCTGTTTCCAAAACTTCCCTTTGGTGTCCCTTTGCAGAGAACCAGGGGTTGGTTGCTTGAACATTTTTTTGCCTCACCCCTAGGATCTTTCACCGCGTCCGATCGACCCTCGTGCCTCCAAGTCCTTTCGCACCACCGCGTCCTCCAGAAAATGGGCTCTCAACGCGTGCTTCGAACACATGGCTGTTCCTTTCTCTTCGCGGCGGTTTCCGTTCATACTTCATTCCCGAAACCCGTTTGAATCGCGAACAACCAGCAAAACATAACACAAACACGACCAACAGTTGTCAATTGTTCGCATGAATTGTGTCAAGTCGTTCTTTCCCTGGTCGAGAATGTACTTGATGGGTTGGCAACTGAAGTTGTCCCATGGTTCAATTTCGGGTCCTTCCCGCCCGCAAAAGGGGCATTGGTCACATGCCACTTGCCATGGTACGACCTGAAGCCAGCTGCCCACTGGCTGATAACACTTGGATTTTGTCTGGGCGTTGAATGCCTTGTCTCACCAACACCACTGACACAAGGATTCCAGAGGTCTTGTTTTTTGGCAACCTGTTAGTGAGCTTGTCCACAAGTGTTACCTTGCAGCAAAATCGAAGCAGCCCAAAGCGGCCAAAGTTGCTGCAACTCATGAGCCCCCCAGAGGAACGATTCCCTCTTGAAGGAAAAGGCTTCGTACCTACCGCAGTACGTGATTTCAACGGGCCACGCGAAGCAACAAACACAACGGCCCGGGAAGAAGCCCTCCCAAAGGCCCGCAAGCAGAGATATCTCTCGATCACCAGGCTTCCACAATTGGCGTTGGGCACTTGGTTGATAAAAGTGCATTTAAACTTTGAAGTGCTTTCTAGGATGTCGTCCCATCGGACTGTGAAAATCAACCTTCCCACATGACACAAGGTGGGATGATGGCCACCCTCCAAGAATAGGACCTATCGTGCGCAGATACTTATTCCAAATGCTGGTGTTCTGTAGTTCCTGTACCAGCTGTCTCTCTGTCCAGTGTAGAGCTTGCTGTACGGCTGATAACCTTTCAAGAGCGCAAGAGTGCACACACCCATTCTGCCGTGTGGAAGCATCAGAGAGTCGATTCCAATGGCCGCTGATCCGAAACAAGTCGCTCTCATTGCACAATGAGGATGGCGAGCAGCGTTGATTTGAGTCGCAACACGTGCTAGCCGCGCTTGCCATGTGTTTGTTGCAAGAGTAAGTGGAGTCTTTCTGGAAAGCAAACACCTTCCTCGTCAAACTGGGGCCCCTGGATCTGCGAAGATCTGGACATGCCGTCCATCCACAACAAGTCTCAACTACTTATACTAAGTACTCCAAACTTTTGGGAAGCGGCACAAGTTCCAACGATTTAGGTTTGAGCCTTGCAGCAAAAGCTCATTTTGTGCGGGGCAAAGCTTGTCGAAGGCATCTATCCGAAGTAGCCGGTTCAATCATCCAAATTTGGGCGTGGGCGTCCCAGCCCCTGTAGGATTGTGTCCATCCACCGTACCATGCTGGGTGCTAACTACGGGGTCCGAAAAATGAAAAACACATGCCCATCCTTGGGTTTCCCTTTGCCGAAATAAAATAAAACATGGCTGCTTCGCACGCATATGATAGTCAACAGGCCAAGAGGCCGGTCCTTGGGCATCAGTTTGCAGGCCCTGACCAGCTCGTACTCGGCCTCCTTGTCTTCCCCCAATTCCTCAACTCAAAACTTGGCAGCGACGCGTGAGTTTGTGTCAAATAACCCGTTTTGGGGGATTTGGGCGCTGCTTAAATATATATATATATATATACATCGACAAATACATATGGGTTTGCAAGAAACTGGTGTTTCCCTCACTGGGCGTGGTGCCCCTTATACATTTGCTTGGCCACCCGCATGTGACCTTTCCACAAGGGTCAGGGAAACCCTTTTTGGATGGAGAAGCCAAACTGGGAAACAAGAAAGATATTGGTTTCTGCCATAGTAAGAGCCCATGGGCCGAGTAGACAAATACAATAACACTGCCATGGGAAACTACAGTACACAAATATAGCGATGAAATACAAGATACTTAATTCCGGACATGATGAATATCATGACCCCACTGCCATCCCTGGAAACCACACCTTCGTTTCGCGAACCGCACCACGACTCTAACTGCCCAAACACGCATCATCTGAGACCAAACATCAGACTTGCTGCCCTTCAGGCGGATTCAGGCATGGTGTCTTGCTGTCAAGCTACCCTGGGTCGTTAAATAAAGCAAACAAGAAACCCCATTGAGGGGGTCCACCAGTTGGAAATGAGCCAAGATGCGTATGAACTGCAATTCTGGGCCCATTGGTGGACATCATTTACCCCGTGGGGAATTTATGTCCGCCTTCCAATTTTGAGGGTGTTCCTGAAGTTTCATAGCCTAGCTAGCCACAACTAGCGAACCCATCCCAGTGGATCCTAGCTTAAAGTTTAGGCGGAAACCAACTCTGCTCCTTTTGGTTGATTGCCTTAGTTCCCTATACTGGTACACAAATTCCCTGGGCATGGTTTCTTGGCATCCGGGGTCTAAATCGACTGCCAGGCCGCCAACAAAGCCTTCGCCTTTCGGTATGTGGCCTGCGAGTTATGCGAACGCCTTCGGATGATGCAAATGGGTTTGTGCCAAAACAAGGGACCCGCAAAATGGTTAGCTTCCTTTTGGCTTCCCTTTAAGACCAACAACAAACACACCAAAACAACTATATATATATACACCAGGGTGAATGTAGATAGTAGACAGCACAATTCCCTGTATGCCTGCAAGTAAAGGGGATGATGACATGTAAAGGTGGACATTGTGTGCCAACGTTCACCCAACTGTAATGCACACATCAGAAATCAATCATCTCCAAGCAAAGGACCTTCATCAAGGCTGAGCTGGTCTTCCCCTCGGGTGAGCTCATCGTGATTTTAAGCAAACACATCGAGGAATCTCCGAGTGGTTCAAGAAAGGGTGTGCCTCAAAACATGAGCCAATAATTATGACTGTGTAACAAACAGGGTTTTGTGGGAGGCTTTAAACCAGGCATTTTTGAACGCTGACATGATAGGATTGGTCGTAATCGTTGCTTCTTAAACTCATTGGAAAGGCAGCTCCAGGCTGCCCTTTCACCTCAAATCAACAAAGGAACCACCGCAAATGCCTGAACACATGGAAGTTTCTTGTTGCCCCTCACAGCAGTCCAAACCAGTCCCAGACTGGCCACTCATTACACGCTTCCATCAGGCTCCTAGCTGGAGGGCTTGTAAAGTTCACTTCCCGAGTTGACTAGATAAACACAGGCCAAACTGTTTGCTTGCCGATTAAAAACGGTATTTCTGCAAACTGCAAAATCCAAAAACTCGGGCAGTTGGAAAATACGTTCTTGACTCCGTTCGCCACCTGCAGTTGACTACGAACGCTGTTAGGTCCCCTAGTTTGGGACAAATTGCTTTTCACACCTTCCTGGGAAAGCAAGAGGTTGGGGTGAGCAGGTAGAAACTATCCAAGAACCCCTCTGTCCGCCGGGGAAGCAAGGAAAAGAAAGGGAAGAAAGAATAGTGAATGTGAATATGCGTACAAATTGAAACTTCCCGCGGGGTTAAAACAAGCCAAGCTGCAGGTCTGACACGTTGAATTGAGACTCCATCTGATCATTCATCCATTCTAGCTTTCTTTTCAAGGACCGTGGGGTGAAGCCTATATGCGGACAAATTGGCAGGATGCAACGTGATGCAAAAGGGCCAACATCACAATGTCACAACACCATTGTTTTTAAAGGATAAAACAGAAAAAAACAATAGAAGACGGGTAAACAGGCACGAGAAACGCGTGGCAACGACACTTACTCTGCAGATTGACCTGGAACCCAAAGACGCATCATTGGAGGAATCACGTCGCTTTGGGGACACCCCTGATCGTGGGAGCCCCTTTGTTCTCTTTGCAGATCTCCCATAACCCTAGGGCCAAACCGGGCCAAGGGGGTAGTACCCAAGGCCGCACAACCCACGGATTCACCTTGGGGTTGTCTGGATCCGTGTCAAGAACCTCCTGGCGGACACGCCAACTGCTGGGCTTCTCTACTTGTTTGTGTTGGGTGACCCGCATGGGTTCCAACAAATTCCAAACGGATGCTGCACGTGATGCTTGCAAGCAATCGGAACCAACTTGTCTAATAGAACCCGTTCAGCCCGGGTCCCCTGATCGCGGGGGAGGCAGCTTCAAGCAACCATGGACTTGTCTCCGACGACGATTCCCCCCATGGTCACTTGCCATCCCCTTGACACACACAACATTGAGCCATCTTTCGCCTTGGTCATTCTGCTGCACAGACTCGTTTTGCCCAACTGGAAGGAGTCAATTTGACGCTATATCTATATTTCAAGCTGAGTCAGCCAGGGATACTAAGAGCCACCACTGGGTGGTAAAACAGGGGGGCTAGAACACAACAGGAACATATCACTAGTATGTGGTTTCAATTTAGGCTAACTTTAACTTCATATTAATATGAATTCTTATTTAGCATTGAGGACACGCATCGGGTCACCCTTTTTGGTGCTGGAACTGAAAGTGTCCTGCATGACGTGTCTAGCTGCGGTTGCTCATGGAGATTTGTCAGACCTCAGGACCCAACTTGCAATAGCACTGAGACCAAAACCAATCCCAAACGCTCCACGCAGGACTCAATGACATCCATTTACATCTTCGTGGCCCAAATGATGGCAACAGATTGACTAACAAGCACTCTCGAGATTCTACACAAGCCATATATAGCCCAAAAGATTGGCGTCCTATCCAAAAAGGAAGGCCAGATCAAAAGACATAACTATCTGGGCAACCTATTAATTTGAACGAAAATATAAAACCCTGTATATACAGGACCTTTATCATCAGTAAGCTTGTTGCATCTGAGGTGATCTCGTTTAACTGCGCCCAGAAGCCTCTCAGAGCAGGTTGCAGCGCTGTAGTCAGCGTGCTTCCAGCCCGTCCACTATCCCAACCGCACCTATAATGATGAATGTTGTAGTATCAGGCGGGTCTTTGTGTGTGTGTGTGTGTCAGGCGCACAATAATTACATATGTATGTATACGTGTAGATATACATATATATCTATAATTGTGTGGGAAGGTGTGGCCCGTTCGCTTCCTCAGGCTACCAGTCCACTATTGACTATGTATTTGCCACTGTTTGTCTTGCATTTAAGTGGTGCGAGACATGGGAATGCACGAAGGATCATTCCCTCCTAGATAGGTACAAGCAGGTTGCAAGCATCGGCTGGAAAAGGCAAACCCTATCTTCCCCTGAAACCGTGGAGAATCCCGTCCCCCTCATCATAAAAGCCCACCCTGGTAGGAAAACTTCCAAATTCGGGTTGGGGGTTGGGGTTGGTAGTCTTGGTAGGCTTGCCTGTTCTGAACCCTCCTTCGGTTTTTCCTCTAAGGAAACCAATCCTATGCCGACAGCCACGCTCACCTAAGTGCCAAATGACCCTCGGGTCCCAACGGTCGCACACAGGGGTCCACGCAGAACTGGCTGGCTCGGTGCCTCATGTTTGCAACCCGAATCCACCGGGGTTTCTGTGTGTTCCCTTCAAACACCAAGGAGAACTAAATCAATATTGACCGCATGATGTTTAAGCCATACGGGCTTGAATATGAGGACAGGGAACACTCTGAAGTCTGGTAATTGGCGACCGAATTCAGATCGATTCCTCGCACAGCTCCAGGGCTCTGCAGGGTTGGTCCAGGCGCAGGCACGCAAGTGCCAAGTTCCTGACTGTGTGTGTTTTGAGGCTCGGTACGCTTTTTACAGGGAAACCACCAGGAACCCCCACTATTTTTGGGGTCCAATCCCCATTTGTTTTACACACACACACACACTGTCCCCCTGTTTTGACACATACCCAAAAAGGGGGAGGGACTCATGGTTGTGGGAAATCATCCAACTTTCTGTGATACCCGGACGGGCCATTCTGAATTCCTGGTTCACTACCAAGGCATTTTCTTGGTATCACAACAAAGGCCCTACAGGCCTGGTTTCCGGGGTTGCTGCGCCAAATGCAACGGGTCAAAACTTAAGGAAATATGTGTGATTCCTTTCTCGGCTCCTTTGGTGAGTCATTTTGGCCCCCTCTCACTGACATGAAACCCACCAGCAGACTTCTGTAGGCAAATGGCTCCATGTGGGAGGAAACAATGACACCACTTGGAAGGGGTCGCTAACACTCGGGCGTGCCTTTTTAAGGGCACCCCTTTAGGGGTCGTTTGAAAGGAAGACGAAAGGGCCACCCAAATCAAGGGCTTTCCTACTTTCAGACAAACCCACTGAAACATGCATCAGCACGAATAAAAACACATAAAACCGAATAAGGGGGTTCTTCATAAAAAGGGCCGTTTTTGCGCCGGGCAAGCTCGACATAATGCATAGTGGCTCCAAGCTCCGCTGACTGTCCTTGATCTAGTAATCTTGACAGGAATCCGAGGTTTCAAGCCATTTTGTCAGCAGTGCCATGGCACATATGGGCCGCACAAAATCAGGCACGCACATCCCTGTAGACGTGAGCAACGCACAGCCCATTGGCAAAGGTCCCAAATCGTTGATGCATCAACTCGTGGGGCATCAGCGGTCCCCATTTGAGCTGCTGTTCAGGTGCATCTCCCACACATGGCCTACGAAAAGCAAACGTCAGAAATCTCTTTATATGGTAAGTGAAGGGGATGACAAAACCAAAAGGGGGGAATGTGCCATCTACTTTCGCCGAACTGTCTTGTCCGTTTCGAGGGCCCGTTTCGGGATTGTCGTCCTTGGGCTCCATTTTGGCCCACGCTGCCTGCCCTGTCAGGTTTCTGCTAAGGAGCAGCTGGACCGGTTGCCGCAAGGATGCAGCCTCCTCTTTGAGGCCTGGCATCGCAGCGATATCGCAGGAATGCTGTCGGGGAAAATTATTGGCATCGCCGAGGAAAAGGGGGTGCAGCAAATTGCTAGCGAGGGATGTCTCCCTGAAAGCTGCCAGGATTGCACCCAAAAGGCCAAGTTCATATATTGTGTGACATCGAACCTCCGAACAGATGTTCAAACTACACGGCTGCAAAAGTCAAGTTAGCTCTCATACAGGCTCACTTAGTGCATCTCAATCAGTGGTTGTTGGGCCTCTCAAAGCTACATGGGGTGTCAACTTGCACAAAGAGGACGCTGCGTTTCGCAAACTATTAGACGTCCCGAGCTCACGTTTGATACCTACAGTGTCTGTTGCCTAGAGGGGTCCAAGCAAAGGTGGGGTTGCCATGGTTTCCCTTTCACCAAGTCCATAACAACTTAGGATTTGACCCCTTTGCCAAGTAAATCTTCAGGTGCGCAGTGCCCAGGGGCCCTCTGAGATTCACCTCCCCGTAGTCGCCTTCCCCGCCTTCCGGTAGCGCGGCGGTAAGTCCAAGCGCCTCATTGTAGGCCTTCCGCGCCCCCGACAGATCCTCAACACATGGCGAGTCGAGCGAAAGCCAAGCCTAACCGTGAGTTTGGGGTTTCGGGCTTAAGAGCTTGAAATAGGTGGTAGGAACTTTGTGTATGCGCGTCATTTGCTAAGAAAAGAAACATGGCAGCACCAAGACTGGTGGAAAAGGCACGTATAAAGAAAGTTCAGCAAGGAAGAAAAACTGCTCACGCGATCGGCCCTCCCAAGCTGCAAGCGCCTTCTTGAACAAAATGAGCGTTGCTGCGGCCAAGGGGTCTGCAATTGCTGTCAATGCGAGACGTGGCTCCAACAAAGCCTGCGCTTCAAAAAAAATCGCGTGCTGCTGGGATCATTTGCGGGCTACACCTCCTGTCCAGTCGCGAAAGAAACTCTTGATGAGTAGTGGTTCAGGGTCTTTACATTCCTTTCATGCCTACGCGGAAGCATCCGCAAGCCTACGCCGCTGCAAAGGGTGCCTACACGCGCACATGTCATCTTGCACTACACGCACAACTACGCAAGCATCTGTTCAGTGCAAATATGCCACACAAAGTGCACTTTGGCAGCTCCAGCTGGAGAATCGCAACTTTTCAGTACAAGGGCAGTCCGCGAATCACACTTTGGCAGCTTCGGCTCTAAGATCACCTGGCAGCTAGGAAAGGCATAGACAAGCCTACAAGAATGCCTGCGGGGCCTACGCGGAGCCTACACGACGACTCTAGAACAAAGAGAAGAAAGGCAAAAGAAGCAAACCCTTTTATTCTTCGCAAACAGCATTGAGCCATGCTTCGTGCAAGAAATGCCTACGAGAGAAGCCTACACGACGAGAGACAGCCCACGAGCAGAAGCCTACGCAAGCCTACGCTCCCAACCAGGATTGCCACCGCAAAGCACATGCAGTTCCCTTTTTGTATGAACCCTTTCAATTGATTGATAACAGCTGCTCGAATGGGAAACATCAATACGCAAGGCAACAGTAAGAATCAGCCCCGTCGAGCAGGTGCCAGTATCAAATCAGCTAAAACAGACTCCTTGCAAATTGCAAGGAGGTTTGCGAGATCATTTAGGACAACGAACCGCATATGGTGGCGTTTTCTCCTACAAGCTGGCGGTTGGGAGTGCCATGTTTTGGAGCCACAGCCATGCCCGGTTTGTTTGTTCCCTCTGCTCTGAAATCAAGAGTGCAACGACCGGAAAAAGCCCCCTTCGGCCAACACATGAGCTCGTGCCGGTGCCCTGTGATCATCGTGTCCCAAATAACATATGAAAGTAGTCCAAGGAATTGGAATCCCACTTTCTTGTCACAGAAGCCACTTTGCTCACAAGATAATCCAATGTTCATGGTGTTCACATCGCCCTTATCTTTGGTAGCAAGACAAACATGCTCAGGTTCCTTCTCATATCAGTCTACCCTATATGAAATAGTTTTGGAGGAGACCCCAGTCTAGTCGCAAACAACCCAAAGGTTCAATGCCTCACACAGCAACACCGAACCCTCCCAGAAGCGCCTAGGATAACCCTTCGATAATTACCAAGGGCAATGACCTTGTCACTTTCAAGCGGGTCCGTTGGAAATCACAGAAACTGGCCCTAAAACCTATTCTCCACCATGCTGGTGGCTTCCTGTGTCAAACTAGGGGCACCCAATTATTTTTGGTGGGTGCTCCTTTGGGGTTTCCCCCGTTTCGACCAACCCAAACCCGGGTATCCTCAAAGCCGCACGGCGTCGCAACGTTTTACTCAAAGCGTTCGCCCGCGACGTGTTACACATGGTATATTTTTCGGCGATTCGCGCTATGCCCTGGCAAGCCGTCACGTTGCCTCAAGGCGGTGGTTGCAGCATTTTTTTTGAGGCGTCGTGTGGCCTGGAGGACGCGTTCAATGATCATGTTGATGTTGAGGATATGGTGCTGATGATGATGATGATGATGATGATGATGATGACGATGGGACACGCCTAGCGCTTTTCGGTCCTCGGCCTTGAACTTGGCGTTGCCCTCCTCCCGCAGCTTCTTGGCTCTCTCCAGGCGCTCGCTGGGCTCGCTCGGGGCCTTGGGCCTGGAAAGCGCAACCAGTTGGAACCAGCCCGGAAGAACAGGAAATGGAAGTGACCACCCGGGCTGGACGGAAAACCGACAGGAGTGAAGTTTGTTTTGATCTTCGGATGTGGGAGTCTTTCTGTTGGGGATCGAAAAGTAGCTGAAAGCTGCTTATTCAATGTGGTTGGGCATACATCTTGAGTACAGTGACCTTGTCTGCACCACAAAAGGAAACTTCTCCAGTTTGAAACTGAACGTGAGAAAGTAGGTTCAAACATATGTTGATAGTCAACATGAGCAGCTCCCAACAGTATGTGCTTGATGGTTCGACTGGCAAGCACCAGCATCTCTGGGAACCATCCTGCGACAAATCCAGGTATTCTGTCTTGCGCATAAACGCTCAAATAGCCTCTCGCTGTTGTCCCTCCCAATCCAAGGAGTTCAACCATTTGCTAAACAGAAGAGGGCACCATGCAGAATGGAATTCTGAAAAATGCATGTCTTACACAGTTGTAAATGAATTCTGCATCCGCCTTTAAGCACCCGATGACATCAATTGTTTGGTGCGCTCCTCAAGCAAGCTGGTAACTCCGCAAACGAACTCACAACAGTTTGCATCCGCTTATAGTTGCGCACATGCTGCCCTTTATTTGGCGCACTCCTCATGCAAAATGGTAAAACTACCGACTCGAAAAAACCAAAAGAAACATTAAACACAAAACTCCAGACCCTATGTGCCCAAAGCCTGTGAGAACCTTGCCATGGAGTTGTGTTTTGAGGAACACTCGAGGTTTTTCTCAGCCAAACTGATAAAGTGCAAAACTAACCTCGAGGAAAACCAAACAATTATGCTCCAAGGATGTCCCTTCTATTGCCTCAGTATCACCCTAATACGCCCCAAGTATTCCTTGAGTATTCCCGTGGTATTCTCGTAGTATTCCCCAAATACTGCTTGCTTGGTGATTCCCTAGCATTCTCACCCTTCGTATTTCTCTAGTACTCCCTGCATAACCCTAGTATTCCCCTATTCCTTTACTATTCTCTTCCTCTAGTATTTGTATTCCCCCAGTATTCCCCTAATGTTGCCCTAGCACTCCTCAGCATTTTCTTGGTACACGCCTAGTATTCCCAGTAGTATTCCTAGAATCTCCCCTCGGTGTTTCCGTAGTACACTTCTAGTATTCTCTCGCGGTATTCTCTTAGTATTCCAGAAGTTATAAGAATTCCCTATCATTCCTTTAAAAATTCCCCTAGCATTCCCCTATTTCTTGAGCATTCTCATACCCCTAGTGTTCCCTAGGCACTCCCCCAGTATTCCCTCTGCTAATTAGTATTCTCCTAGCTTCTCCTAGTATTCACCCCTAGCATTCCCCTAGTACTCCTTGAGATGCAGGTGTGGAAAAAACAAAATGTCTGAAACACAAACAACGCTACTTTCACAAAGTTTCATACCTCCACCCCCGCTTTTCTTGCTAAATTTGCCATGAGAGACTTGGGGCACTTCTCACATGAGATCGTGCCCAAAGTGCATCAAAGCAGCTCAGTCTCCTGCTCTGAGGCCATCGCTGACACACTTCGAGCGAGCAAAGAAGCCGACAAATCGGCGAGTTACGGAACAACGTCGTTGGTTGTGATACTATAATCCATGTTGGGAACAAGATAAATACAACACAACAAACATGGTAGACACTTGTGGGGCTGGTGCTCATTCAAATCGGGCATACCTCCATTCCACACCTTCGGACTGCGCATGCGGCGACTCCAGGCTGTGATCAAACCCTGCGTGGATTGGTGTTGGTGCAGGCTTGCAACCTGCCACAAAATTGGCCTGCTCAAACGGCAGCGGAGCAATCTCACAGCGAGTAACATCAAAGCAAGGGAGCCAGCCGGTCAGCCGGTGCACCAATAAAGGCCCCAATCTTAGACTTTACTAGTTCAAAAACCATGGAGGTGGATGATCCGGTCTGGGCTGACTCTCTTGTCAGCGCCTCCCTAAGGGGACTCGCCAAGAAGAGTCCGGGAATGTGCAGTTTCGCACCCAAAGTCTTCCAAGGCAAGGAGTATCCCCGACCGCATCGGTCCTCGGTCTCTACTCTCCCCATAAGATATTGAGAACCATGAGGGAAGCTTTGTCTAATTTCAATTGCTGTATATCATAGCATATGGGCTTTGGTGTCCCTCATCTTTTTTCACTGGGCTACAACAAATACATATGAGCAGATCATATGAGCAGATCAGCAAATACAAAGGCTATAACATGGGGTGTGTGAATTTTCATTGGGGACCCTTTGGTGGATATCATTTGCATGGGGATTCATGTTCACCAACCCTTTTCAGCGTGTTCCCTGGTTAAACTCCTACCCTTGGTCCGCAACAAAATGTGACTTCCCAAACTGTTCGAAGCGGTAGAACCTCAGGTTTGCGCCTTGCGCCTTGGCAAATAAACTCCGGAATCCTTCCACGTGACCACGCTCAATTTGATGCATGCGATTAAAAGGAAATGGTCTGGAACATCAATCTCCAATTCAACATGTATATTGAGTTGGCCAAGCGAAGGGCTTCTAGCAAGTTGGTTGTTGCTGGCAGGAGAATCGCTTACTCCCTAAACGTCGCCCTGACACCCAACTCATGAAGGATGTAGACACAGCCGTGAAATTCAAAGATGTTGCCAAAGAGGAGCTTCCTAGACGTTTCTTATTGCAGCGATCTGTTACAGCACACTTGAATTGTCTGTCAAACGTCAAAGGTCAAAAATGGCTGGGGCATCCTTAGTTCCGATGACTCGTTAACTCCGAGCTTCCAAACACATTTCAGAACCCGATACACACATATATATATATACACATAAATATGTATGTTATCCCACGTCCCACATCTGGCATCAAGCAGCTCCGTGTTCTCGACATGCCGGCTGTGGAAGGGCTGTTTGGACAACCTCGCGAACGGGCAACATCGGATCCCTCATGTCGGACATCGCAGCCACCTCTGCAATTGCGTGAACACCGGCACATGTTTTTGTTGGTGTGTGTGTGTGTTTAATGCATACATACATGTATGTACGTACATATGAGCATAGAAAACACAGGTTGACTTGCATGTACAAGTCTTGGGTATGATATATATATATATATATCACATAAAGAAATGAATACCTTTTGTAAATACATGCACATTGACATCTATGTATGTCTTTAATGTAATGGCCAACCAATCCTGGCAACGAAAGCATTGGGCCGGGCAAACAGCGTGCTCTTTTTGGAAAATCATAGGCGCAGCCATTGATGAACAATTGGTTTACTCTGCTTGGGGTGCTTTTAAAACGCAATTCACAAGGAAACCATCTTTTTGTTTGGGGGGTGCCTATTTGTAGTGTCGAATCTAGGGATCCTTTTTGGGACACTTTCCAAAGCACACCCACGCAACACCAGGGAGAGTCCCGAGCTTCGAGTCGAAAGGCAGCTGGATTGCCGGGCGTGACTAAAACCACGCTGATCCACACAAAGGATCATGCAACATGGTGCGTGTCCTTTTGTAAGGGACCCAAACAATGGTGGGGTTCCTTTCGGTTTCTCCTTCATGCCCGCAAAGAAGAAGTACCCGGTACCCTCAACACAAAGACACACCCACGACATGGTGCGTGCGTGTGCCCGTGAATGTGTGCGTGTGTGTGTGTGTGTGTCAAACAAGAACATTCCATTGCTGGCATATTAGGAATTCCGTGTAAAGTTACTTGCTGCTCCACAAGCACATGGAACACTTGGATGGGCCGCGTAGTTGTTGCGGGAAACTTTGGTGTGCCTCCCATGTCCTCCCCGAACCAACAGTAGACTACAAGCACCATACAATGATATTATCAGCTACTCGTTTGCGCGCCACCCAGTCCTTGCCAACAAGTTGTACTCGACTGTGGCTCTTGAAAGCGTTGAGGGTGTGAAAAAGATGGAAGTCACAAGTGTCGACGAAATTCGCAGGACATGAGAGATGTTGGGTCACCTGCGACACCAATCGACCAATCGAGCGACCGACCAACCAACCAACCAATCAACCAACCAACCAACCAGCCAACCAGGAAGGCAAGCGAGCTACCAACCAAGGAGGGTAGCTGAAAGATGTCACTCGAAGGCTGTGCTGGCCGGTTTGACTGGGGTTGGGGCAATCTTTGGGCTGCCTTCCTGCTTCCCCCAGGTTTCGGCCAACGACACATCCACTTCGTCGAGGCGCTTCTTGCTGCCGAAGAAAAGGAAGGACCTGAGCCGGGTCCGTTCCGCCGCTTCCCAGACCTCCGGGGGGTTCTCCATAAGAAAAACCAGAGCGCCCTTGTCTCGGTGGATATTGAAACCGGCGAAAGCAAAAACACCCCAAAATTGTTAGGGCACCTTGGACCAAGGACACCTCCAAATTATTCCATCCAAAACACACGACTCATAGGGTGACCCCTGTTGCGTCATGATAAGCTCCACGGTGGGTCGTGCAGAATCAAAGCAAAAGGGCAAAACTGAGTTTAAAATATTGCAACTACTTCGCGGCCGGGGTCTTATTTGTAAGTGGTTTCCCATGCAAGCAAAAGGACCCACCCTTTGGCACCCCCATCCCAGAAGGAAAAAGTCGCCGGGCAGCTTTTGGAACAAACATCGTTAATCCCCTTGGAGAGGTTGTGCACACAAATTCCTTCGACTCTTTAAAATGAAACATAATCTTCAAGTGCCTTCATGTCCAATTAGCAAGAGTCAAAACGAAACCCTTGCATAGACAGTCCTGCGCACTGGTGTCTGTGTGTGTGTGCGCCGTTTTGCAAGCATGAAGCCACCAAAGGCTGAATAAAACATCAACAACGAGTCTCATAATCACACACCCCAAAGGGGGACCGGGCAAACACACCACTACAATCAGACCACTGCAAGCACACCTTGTTGGGGAAAACAGCAACCCAACAAAACTGGGGGCGTGTTTGGGGTGTGGTGTATGTAGGGGCGGGTGGTAGGAGTAGTTGCCGGCTATGTCGCTTGCACGGGGATGCCAGTGGTATCACCGAACATGTGCCAACATCAAATGTCCCACAACAATGGCCTAACATTGCGAAGACGAGCTTTCCCAACTGCACAACAGGGAAGACGCCCTAAGTACACAACAGGGAATCCCACTGGATTCGATCAACACTCAATGACACTCAACAGGATCTACCCTCCGGTGTCCCCAGGCTGGCGTCTCTCGGTAACTCCGTACACCGCGACTGGGCTTGGCCGAAGGTGATGTCTGCGATCGCTGGGCTATGATGGGCTCAATGGCCGCTATTGGCGGATGTAGCCCCTCACCCATATAGAAACCCTCCAGCTCGAAGTCGGCCAAATTTCTGGAGGTGTTGCCGGTCAGCTCGATGACGAAATGGTCTTGGGCTGGCTTGAGGATGGTCAGCCGGAGGTGTTCTGTGCCATGCCGCGGTGGATAGCCCCCCCTACTGCATATGCACTATGTGAACTGTGAAAACTCCCTCAAAGGATCTGGACCCCACCATACATTCAATGGAGGCTGCAGATGTTTCGATGTTTCAAGGTCTGGACCGGCGAATTCCGCAGCCCAAGAGTCCGGGCGAGTGTTCGGCAGCGTCATGACGTAGCCTTGCCGATGGCCCCAAAACCGTTCCCACCGCGAACGTAAGGGCAAACTGTAGCAAAAGCCCTCACTAGACACCAGTCACGGCGTTCATACACTCACACATTTATAAATGTGCATTATGCAAGGTAGATACATATATGTATAGACAAATACATACAGTATATATACACATGCATATATATATATATGCACTTGAATAAACATAATACATATCTATCTATCTATCTATCTATCTATCTATCTATCTATCTATATATATATATATATCTATCTATATGTATCGATTTATCTATCTATCCATCTATCTACCTATCTATCTATCAATATGTCTGTCTGTCTATATCTATATCTATATCTATGTCTATGTCTATGTCTATATCTATGTATATATATATATATATGTATATCTGTCTGTCTGTCTGTCTGTCTATCTATCTGTCTATCTATCCGTGTATCTATGTGTTCGTGTATCTATGTATCTATTTATCTATCTGTTTCTATCTCTATCTCTATCTCTATCTCTATCTCTATCTATCTATCTATCTATCTATCTATCTATCTATCTATCTATCTATCTATCTATCTATCTATCTATATATATCTTTTAGAAGGCTTCAAAGGAATGCCGAAAAAGACACCAAGCCCCTGTTGTCCAGTGACTCGTAAGGTAGAAAAAGGATTGGAACCCATTTCCTGGGGTCACCAATGCTTGGGAGAACCCACCAAACCAAAAGTGATTGGAGTTTGTGTTTTGATAGGGCCAGGGGCATCCCCAAGCCGGTGGTTTTCCCTTGGGCTTCCCAAAGAGAGGCACGACGACGCACTGTTGGGTCCCACTGAACAGGGAAGAACCCGGCCCTTTGGATCGCACGCCTATAGCGCCTGAGGAAGGTAAACTCCACATCAGTCGCGCCTGAGGCATGCGACAGAACCCGGCAACGAGCGCCCACAAAATCCAGACAGACCGTTGTTTCTACCAACTCACTTCATATTTTCCCAAGTAAACTAGGAAGTATTGACCCTTACCCTTTCCGAAAACTGGGCGCTGTTCAATTTTAGGTTGTTTGCTTGCATGGACCATCGGTAAACAACAGTACGGCTGGGCAGAGAAATGAATCTCGGCCCTTGTTACATTCTTTGAACAAGCGCGAGGCGCTGGTCGAGCTGAAAACTAGGGACAAGTTTCAAGAAAATTCCAAGTTGGAAGCCACCATGATTCGCTGCTACCGCTCTACTTGTTCCTCGGTTCCAGCCGGCCCCCCTATGCCCCCGGCCGAGACATCTCGGCCGCGCTGGGGCCTAGCGGTGAGATGTGCGATGGAAGGCACAGAGTGGAAGCGGATATTTTTTGGGAACCCGCCTGCTTGGCCGTGGGAATGTTGATACTAGTTGGCGGCAGTTTTTCAAAGCTATTTTGTTCAGCGAGCCGCAAGAGTTATGACGGGCAAAGAGAAAGAAAGCCCGATTCCTGGGTCCATGTCCAGCTGAAAACCCACCATCGCAAAGCAGAGACGGACTGGGCGCTGCTAGGCTGCCTAAGAGCAGCCGACTTGTTGGCCCTTTGAGGTTTCGAAGCCCGGTTCCATCAGGCTTCGCGTCAGAGCACCCATAAACTCCCCAGAACCAAACACGCCAACACATCTTCCACCGCGCATCTTTGCGGTGTAGAATAGCATATAGCAAACCACTGTGATTAGCTACATTGAACTTTAATTTCAGCGCGTAGCAAGCTGTGCATTTATTGACTTGCTTCAATTACATTTATGACGTGTAGCACATGAGTCCTGACTCCAGCTGAGCTATTGGCAATGGGTGATGGGGGTGCCTCAAAATACGGAGAATGGGTCTGACATGGTTGGTTTCCTATTGGATTCATGTTACTCCCCCACAAGTTGACATGGAACCCCAAAAGTGGGTCCCGCAAGAGGAGCTTCCTTCGCAAACCAGTCTGGCAACAACAGGAAGCCGCTGCCTTGATCGTGGCAGCACGGGTGCGAATGGAAATAAGGCAAAGCAGGGCAAAGAAAGGGAAAGCAAGGAACAGAAAGCGAAAGCAAGGGAAAGCAAAAGAAAGCAAAGGGAAAGCACGAGCAGGCAAGGGAAAGCAGGGCAAAGCAAGGGAAACCTGGGAAAAGTAAAAAACAACAAGGGAAACAAAGGGAGAGCAAGGGCAAGCAAGCAAATTCAAGGGAAGGCAAGGCAAAGCAAAGGAAAGCAAGGGAAAGACAGGGCAAGCACGCAAATTCAAGGGAAAACACGGCAAAGCAAGAGAGAGCATAAGAAAGCAAGAGAAAGCAAGGCAAGCAAGACGAAGCAAGGGAAACAGCACGGGACAGCAAGGGAAAGCAAGGCAAACCAAAGCAAAGCAAAGTAAGGGCAAGAAAGCAAATTCAATGGAAAGCAAAGCAAAGCAGGGCAAAGCAAGGGAAAGCAATCGAACTCAAGTGAAAGCAAGGCAAAGCAAAGAAAAGCAAGGCAAAACAAGGGAAAGGGCAAGCGGGACATCAAGCGCATTCAGGGAAAGCAAGGGCAAGCAAGCAAGTTTTGGGGCAAGCACGTGAATTCAAGAGCCAATCACATTGCCTTTTGTATGCATTGCGTAGGCTACAAAGGCATACAACATACATACAAAAATCATACAACAAGCATACATAATGCACTCACAAATGCATGTTGCATGCTTGCTGTATGCCTTTTGTATGCATGTTGGACGCATGTTGGCACAGAAAAATGCGTGCTGCGCCAGAGCAAACAGTGCGTACAAAATCCACACAACACTGCATGCCACAAATGCATACAAAAGGCACACAACAATGCAACGTGCATGTTGTATTCGATTTGCATGCATTTGGTACTCATGTTGCATGCGTGTCGAAGACATTCAACTGCAACATCCCATACAACATGCAAACAAAGGTAAACAAAATGCATGCACCATGCACAAAATGCATCTGACCCGCCTAATGCATATACACAATGCAAACACAATGCTAGCAATGCCAGAGCCAATCATGAATACAAGCAAAAGCCAAACATGCGTACAAAATTAAGACACAAAAGGAGCAAGCATGATGCTTGCCGTTTCATTTTGTATTTGCAAAACTGCAAACACTATACGACAACGACGTGTCACTTTGCTTCGCCAAGGCCGCCGCCGGCGGCACCTGACAATGGAGCTGATCGTCGTTCGGGCGCTCTCACTCGTGCTTACAGCTGTGGGATGCTGCGGGTGTGACCTTCAACAGCGCGCCCTTTGGTGGACATCACGTAAATGGGGATTCATGTACACCAAGCACTTTAGAGGTGGTTCCCAATTTAAAGGCAGGACCCCATCAGGTGCGTTGGGAACTGGGGTGCAAGTCACCTTCCAGTCTCGCGGACTCCCACGAACAGAATGCCCCAACTGCTTGAATCCATGGGGCGGAATATTGCTTGGGGGGGAAACTTCTTACTCCCGCAAAGCAACTTGATCTTGGTGAGAAATCCATGGAACTGCAAGTGTCTTTTCGGCTGGAACCCCCAAATGGGTGCCCCAAAAGAGATTCCTCCGCAAGTCAGGGTTTTGTGGGATCCATTTCATCAGCAGGGGAGTAGAACCTGCAGCAGAACCTCTCTTGACTGAGGAAACCACGAAATGTAAGCTAAAAGTAGCCATGGGCTTCCCAACATGCCCTTCCATCCTGCGCCTACTCCAGCCATGTCTGCCACTCTCCAGTGCATGCTCACTCATAAAAAGACGCCCCCAAGCTCCAGAACAACATTGGTGGATATGGTTGCAGCATCGATTCCACAACAAGGACGTACAAGTGGCATAGGAGGTTTTGTTGAGGCTCCTCCTCTGCCCCTCTTCCCTCCATTATTATGGAATGGTGGATGCAGTGTATCCACCACTCCCGTTTCCAGTCAGCCTCATGCGCCACATCCTGGGTCTCCATGGCTAACCGCACATCCCGGGCTCACGTACTGTCGAGACCCCAGCAGGTTCAGCAGAAATCCATAACGACACTTCTTCCGGCACTGCGAGATGTGATCTGTGGCAACTCACTTCGGCTGATCCAGCGCATCTGGCGCTTGTTTCCCCGCGAGGTCAGTCTTGCCGATGTTGGTTCGACATGTCACCCCGTGTTCTCCCAAACCAAACAGCATGCAAACTACCAATCATTTTGGCGGCTACTATGGCCCTCAACATGACAACTGGGCTGGGCTCGGGTCACACCTTTTTTGACTCCTTACAGACCTTTGGAATCTTGAAAGCCCACGATGGAATTTCCAGGGGGGCGTGGTTGCAGCTCTCCAGTGCACAGGTTACTTGGGCCTTCCCCTTGAGACAGGCGCGAGCGGCGAATGAGGTCAAGGCATCCATTGTCCATTGTGTCTTAGGGTCTTTTGAGGCGGTTTGGAGTCCTCCGCCTTGGAGGCGGTGGCTATGAAGTTTAAATAGGCAACACCCTCAACAACTGGGTGATGGACATAAATCCCCATGTACAGGATGTCTTCCAAAGGGTCCCTGCTCTGTTGCCACATGAGCGCAGAAAGCAATGCCTATGCGTTCCGAGGCATTTCGTTTTGACCATTTGCTCTCTTGTGTACCTCATTGCAGGAAGAGCCAAGTTTAGGGGTTGACAACCGCCAGCTAATCAGACAAAAACAAAGCACATGTTCGCTGGAGAGTCGAACGGTCTCTCGGCTTTCAGATTTTGCTGGCTGCGCAGCTCGCGCTGTCGGGATGCTAATTCGCACCCTGATCCAAAAGGATGTGCCGCGGAAAGCCGCGGACCACTTGACGCAAGCTGTCTGGGTGAATGTTCCAAGTTGGCCAGCAGCCTGATCGACCTGGTCCACCGACCTGCAAGGCATTACATAAACATACATGTTTCTTCACACATCTTGAGTTGTTGGTGGCAATGATTCACCCAGAGCAAATCTCTGCTTAGCAGAGCCCTAAAGCTTGCTATCCGGATGGTAGCACGTCTGAACCTCAGTGCCGTCATTGGGCAACACAACTCAACAAAGGCACATGCCCCCACCTCGGTGGCTGTGCTGACTGTGATGTTGGCCCACGCCAATCACGTGTTGCATCCGTCTCTTGTGCTGTTAACAACATGGGAGCTGAGCGCAAGGATTTGGGTTCCTGAGAGGTCAGGATGCAGCCCGACTCATACAGCAGCAAGGTCAGGCTTCTGCCGCCCAAAACACGAAGCATTTCGCGAATCTTGTGAATTGCAGTCAACAATCTTGATTGCACATCCCAAACTTTCGCTTCCTTGCAATCGTCCAAATCAATCTGCACCGCTATGCCCCCCTGCCTGAAATCGGTCATGCCCGCACGCCCTGGCCAACGGCAAGGCCAGCCGTCTAATATGCAGAGTCAACAACACGACTTGGAACTCACATGGACGCTTGGGCTGAAATCACGAACACCTTGTAGCCCTGGTTTTGCAACATGCCCAATTCACATGCACAAGCTCTGCCTGTCACAGTCTCTCTGTCGGCGGGAGGGCTGGGTGTGGCGGTCGGATGTTACCAAAAATCCAACAACCCCCATGGCCCAACCCGCCGGGTGAGCAAAAACGGGAAAAAATAACCCACCTCTTTGGGTTCCGCGCGTCGAACCGAGCATGCCCAGCGGGCCTCCACCGCCTCCTGTGGGCCCAAGGCCATGGCCAGCCGATGCCTGACATCACAACAGGACCAACGGCCGAGCGAGCAAATTGGGCGGGTCTTCTTTAGGGCACCACCCCCCCAAATGACCGGCTTTCCTTTGGGTTTCCCCTTAAGCCACCAAAATGATTGGGGGGCAGCCTAAAACAAAAGATACATCCAGGTGAGTCTTGCTGGCCATGGCCACCTTCAAGGTCCAACCAACTAGCAGGCAAGGAGTGCGGATAAACTGCTGGGAAAGATGCTTTAAATGGTCAATGTTCCCCACGAAACATAGGAGTCGCCCACCAGGTCTTAGGATGTTGGGTTTAGGGTTTGCGGTGAGGGGTTATACTTTCTTAGGCTTAGGAGACAAGGCTTTTGAAGTTTGGAGATCGGTGCACGGCTCTTAGGTTTACGGTCTTGGAGGTTGGTTTTCTAGGTTGCGGGGATCTTAGGTTTGGACTTCATGTTGTTTTCGCTTTTTGTAGGGTTTACGGTTTTCAAGGATTTAAGGTTTGAGCTGTTTGGAACTGTTTTAAAGGGCTGAACGATTGTTTTGGGATTTTAGGGTTTAGGGTTCAGGATGTTGAAGGTTTCAGGGTGCTTCGGGCTTGGGCTTCAGGGTTTCAGGGTTTCAGGGTTTAGGAGCCATTTGTCTGAAGGTTTTAGAGTCTTTAAATTTGTAGTTTCATTTCTTGGTGCGTTTCGAGTGATGTCTACCTCGACTCTTGCTCTTGGCTGCCAGAAAGCTTCTCCCAGCTTGGGCAGGCCGCGGTGCCGAAGGCTCGCTCTTAGGTGGCCACAGGCGACACGTACGTTTTGGCCGACGTAGATGTGTACATGCTCTATCTCTGACTCGCAAATATGGCTCACACACACACCGTTTGTCCTCAAATAAAGTTAAGAGGGGAATTTCAGGGTGGAGGCCTGTTTAGAATTGTGCGGGTATTGGGCTCTGTTGGGCTCTGTTGTTTGGTGTTGAATTAATTGTAGATGGGCACTGTACGAACCTGGTATGAACCTGTGTGGTTTCATCGTGGGACGCCTTCATGGGTTGATTCCCACTAGAATTTGATTTGTTGGACCAAACTGCTGGACCTGCTTGACTAATTGAGTGCGGGACACACTGCGGCTGGAACGAAGCGCCTCTGATCAAAGGGATAGTGTACGTATCCGTTTATGAACCCCTGGCAGGGATCCATAGGCCCTAGTTGATAGTTCAGGGACCCAACATGGCCATGGGCAATATGAGTTGCTGACTGTCCCTGCAAAGCGCTAAGAATGTGGACTCCGCATCTGCAACCAACAAAAAACCAAGCCGGCAAGCAAGCAACCGACCGACGATGAACGTGAGCAGGTGCTATTGTGTCAGCCTCCATCACTGTTAGAAAGAACACGCATTCAAAAACCAAACAACCTATACACCACCCAACTAACCCAAACCAAGGAAGCAAGCAACCAAGGAACCAAGGAACCAAGGAACCAAGGAACCAAGGAACCAAGCCACCACCCAACCACCTCACCACCCCACCCCACCCCACCCCACCCTACCCCACACCCCACCCTACCCTACCCCACACCCCACCCCACCCACCCACCCCACCCACCCCCACCAACAAAAGCAAGCAACAAATCCCATGCATCCTGGAAACTGGTCCGTCTTCTCCCGGCCTGTCCGCTTGCAAAGCCTTGTAGACATTCCCCAAGGCCACGCCAGGACCTCAAAGACTCCATGAAAGGTCCCACGGCGTCTCATCCGTTTCGACGGAATCTGGATGCATGCTGAGATCTATCTCTTGAGACTCCATGGTGAACCACAGGGAACCGCCCATGCCAAAATTCCCGATCGGAAGGCCAAATTGGTGAAGGAAAACCAAAAGCATTCACCAACTTTCTGCCCCTTTTGATGAGGCTTGAAGCAGCCCTTGGCCTGTTTGAACAATAGACCTACGCACGGCTTGGCTTTTGGGGAGATTACGCAGCTCGGACCAACATGCGAACCCAGGTGGGCAACTCGATTCACTTTGGTTGCGAAGCTTTGGTCCTCAAAGCGCTGTATATCGCTGGCCTTGCTATTCGCGTGGCGGTGTTTGTTCGCCGCCTGCTGCTCTTGTTGCCTCCTCACGCCAAGTTTTCTTGTTGGGTAGCCCTTCGCTCCTTTGAGGCCGTGGGAATCGCAGGCGGTTGCCTTGGAACGAGCAGTCAGCTGTGCCCAAACATGAAGGGACTGAGTCACCGTATGTAAAACGATTGCTTGACCTGGACGAACCAGCATTCATTTCGATGCCGGGTTGCTGCCTCTGACCACCACATGGACACCATAGGTCCTTTGTATTGGTTGCTGCCAGGGCCCAGAACTGCTCAAACAAACGCAGACCATGCTTCAGGGTCTCATGAAAAGAATGATAATGTCTTTGACCGCCCACACACCCTCCCTCCAACAATCATGGAAGTGGACAAGGGGCTTCCCCAAAGGAAACTCCTGTCAGCTTCCATGAGCCCTTCAAACATGGAAGTGCCTCTCAGAGAGCAACAAAGTCTTCCAAAACGCGACATTGTACTTCCATGCTTGTTGGGGAGGAAGAAGCCCAGCAACCAAGTGTCCATGAACGTGTGTTTTGTGGAGGGTACCTTTTCAGATCGTCTTTTTCAGGGGTCCAACTACCCTTTGATGTTGTTTTTTGAGTTTACAGGGTTGAAGTGCCTCCTCGGCCTTTCCTCAATTGTCACGCGTGGGTCTGTTCTTTTTTGAGGGTACCCTCTTTTGTATTTTTTGAGGGCACCCTCTTGCTTTGGTTTTAAAGGTCAAGCAAAAGGAAACTCACTGTCGGTGGTGCCCTAGAACAAACACACACACACACACACATGTTCATTCTCAGGTCTGCGCGCAGCGTGGGATCGGCCAAGACCGCCTCCGAAGCAAAGCCCCCTTTTTCCTGTGTCGATGGGTTCCCTACGGGTACGTCTTTGAATAGACTGTGTCTGTTCCTTTGGATTCCCTTTAAACCAAACCAGCCAGGGTACCCGCAAAAAAACATCTCGTTTGAAGGTCTTTCGACTATTATGTTCTTGGCCAACATAAAGTGCACAAGGACTCGCGACCGCAGGCCAATACAAAGTGGGTTTCCTTTTGGTGGGATGTTGTGCAAAGAAAAACATCTATAGGGAGTTCTGAGATGTCAAGGCTCAGCACAAATACTGTGGAATGGACACAGTCCTGCACCAGGTGAGATGGATGAAATCCTTGAACGTCGGGGATAAACCACCAACTGGAGGATTTGTCCATCTACATGTCCATTGTCCACTGATTGCGTGTCTGTTGGTTAGTGGCTAGTCATGCTTTTGGGAGCTTGTTAGTTCAGCTCCGAAATCCCTGGCACAAAGGACATTTGGCCCCGTGGTATTTAAAGGAAAAGCAACAAAAACACCAATTTAATAGCCTTGTGATGTGATCTGGAGGCTTGACCATGACGCCACCTGACTAACTCAGGTGGGGGGGGTGCCACAGACAGGCAAGGACAACTCAGCAATTAACACTGATCCTGATCAAGTAACTCGGTCTTTCTTCATCAAGTAGGACTTTTTAACTGTAACCCCTCCTTGAGCCAACCAGGGGTCTGAAAAGCTTCACCATTGAGGACCTTGACTAGTGGACTATAGGGGAACCAATACTTTCTGCTTGCACCAATGGAGCCTCTACCAAAAGCGGGACCGAAAGAGCAATGGTTAATTCTAAAGCTGCAGCCATTTCCAAGAGGATCGTCTGCCACGAGGTGTCTAAAAATGCCACGCTCGGCATAGGAGTCCAGCCCAAGCTTGCCATGTCAAGGCCGTGGCCGTGTTTGGAGGAAGGCAAAAGGGGGGGGGGGGTGGAAGGGAGAAACGTCCATCCCGGCTTGGTTCCCTTGAGGATCGAATTCACGCCCGCCTGCTTGGGCACATCGTGGGCGTTCAGCGCCCTTGGAACGCACCGCATCCGGAGCTCCTGGATGCAAATCAGGGCTACCTATAATATATATATATATATATGAGCGAGCGTCAAAATTACTTGCTTGGGGTGTATTCATGCCAACGTTAGGACGTCCCGTATCGTTTTGTTCCCAGGTTTTGGGATATCGATTTTGTGGACGTCCCGTATCGCTTTTCGAGAAACACACAAAACAACATGTGCATGAAACACTCCTACATAAAGTAAATGAAGGTAATGTTGATGCTAACTCAAGTATGTGTATATATATATATGCATGTATATGTATGTATGTATGTATGTATGTATGTATGTATGTATGTATGTATGTATGTATGTATGTATGTATGTGTGTGTGTGTGTTGTGTGTTGTGTTGTGTGTGCATGTTGTGCGTTGTGTGTCTTGTGTGTGTTGTGTGTGTGTTGTGTGTGTGTGTTGTGCGCCTGTGCTGCGTGTTGTGCGGGTGTCGTGTGTGTGTGTGTGTGTCTTGTGCCGTGTGTGTGTGTGTGTGCGTGGGTCTTGTGTGTGTTGTATGTGTGTGTGCGTGTGTGTTGCGCGTTGCGTGTTCTGTGTTGTGTGTGTGTGTGGTGTGTGGTGTGTGGTGTGTGGTGTGTGGTGTCTGTGTGTTGTGTGCGTGCGCGTGCGCGTGTGTATGTGTGTTGTGTGTCTTGTGTGTGTGTGTGTTGTGTGTGTTGTGTGTGTGTGGTGTGTGTGTGTTGTCTGTGTGTGTGTTGTGTGTTGTGCGCGTACGCGTGCGTGCATGTGTGTGTGTTGTGTGTGTGTGTGTTGTGTCCGTTGTGTTTTTGGTGTGTGTTGTGTGTGTGTTGTGTGTGTGTTGTGCTTTGCGCTTGCTGTGTCTGTGTGTGTGTGTGTGCGTCTGTTGTGTGTGCGTTATGCGTGTTTCGTGTGAGTTATGCGTGTGTGTCGTTTGTGTGTGTTGTGTGTGTGTGCTGTATGTGTTGTGTGCGTGTTGTCTGTTGTGTGTTGTGTGTGCGTGCGCGTGCGTGCGTGCGCGGGTACGTGAGTGTGTTGGTGTGTGCGAGTGTGTGTGTGTGTGTGTGTGGGTGTGCGTGCGCGTGTGCGTGCGCGTGTGCTGGTGTGCGTGTGCGTGTGCGTGCGCGTGTGCAAGTGGGTGTGTGTGTGTGTTTTGTTTGTAATTGTGTTTGTGTTTGTGTTTGTGCTTGTGTGTGTGTGTGCGAGCCTCCCTGGGTCACGGGCGCTTTTCACGCGGGGGAGCGCAGCATGACTGAGGGACCGCACTCAATGAAGCTACCTCGTTCATGGGATACTGGGTCTGATCAATCCGGCGTACCTGTTTTCCTTTTCTTTTCTTTTTTTGTTGCCCCTGTCTTGCTGTTGTTTTCGCTTGATGTTCAGAAGACTCAGATCAGTTCAGACAATTTCAGAGCACCACATTGCTCTGCCCGTGGACAGGTACGCAACGCTGCGATTTCAGGCTTCAGGCACCCTTTGCTTGATTGAGCTTACATGCACTTTTGCAAGCTTTCCTGCAAGTTGGGGCAGCACAGCTAGCTGCGGCGGATTCTCTTTGTGTCTCCACACTTGGGGCGCATTCCCCTTCCGAGTTGTGCTAGGCACGTGCAGTTGTGGACGAGTTTACCTGCTTGAGGCAAAGCAGGTACCGTTCGCCACAAGCACGACTGCAGCTTGGGACTGGTCTTCAACTCCCTGCCTGCTTAGTGTCTTAGGCATGGGCCGTTGTGCAGCTTGGTGAGACGGGTCTGCGTGTGTGCGAGCCGCCCTAGGTCACGGGCGCTTTTTCACGCAGGGGAGTGTGGCATGACTGGGGGACTGCACTCAATGAAGCTACCCCAGTCATGGGATACCGGATCTGATCAATCCGGCGTACTTGCTTTTCCTTTCCTTTCTTGTTTGGTTGCCCCTGGTTTGCTGTGGAGATGCTGTGTCATGAGTTTCTCGCTTCTGCACTTGCGTCGAGTTTGATTTGCCGGCGAGTGAACCTCGCTCTTCAAGGGCGTGTGCGTGTGTGCGCGTGTCCCCCTTTGAAGCAAAAGGAAACTCGCTGTATGCTGGCCCAGCTGATGTTGCTGCCAAGAAGGGAAAATATAGGGAACCAGACTGATTCCACATTTTGTTTAAAACCGTCAATGATTCCACATTAGTTTCGACTGTTAAGTAGAAACAGCAGTTTGCCCCTGCAATGTTTCTGGAAAGAAGGGTCCCTGAACAAGAATGGGGAAGATGGCACTAGATGAGGGTATGCCTTTTGGGGCTTGATTTGAAAGGAAAACTACAGTCTATGATGTGACGTCGAACTTGTCTTTTCATAGCAAAACACATGGACTGTCAACCGTGTCTACAAATGGCAGGGGTGCAGCAGCAAATCTCCGCAAAAGAGGGGCCCATTGGGATGAAGACATAATTGGACAACCTCACTACCAAACGACGCAGCTACAGGTTTGAAGCACAGCAAGAAAGGTCCATTAGACACTATGTCATATAACCTGCCTGACATACCGGCGTCAGTTCGTGGGTGTACTTGGCTATCAATAGGCTATCAAATCTATGTAAAATCAAAGATGGATATTGTGGATAGTGGATAGGCAACTCCTTGATACACGCCCCAGAAGAAACAAAACAGCCCTGCGCAAAACAGTACCATTGGCATTGAACCTTTGGCTTCAGACCCCCTCAGTTCAAATCTGATCAACAAGCTCGCACCGTCCCCAAGGACCCCAAAAAGCTGCCTTTCCTGCTGAGAGCTCATAGGCATTCCTTGGATTCGTGCATCCTAGGTTGCGTGAGTCTGAACTTGAGTAAAGCAGCCAACCAACAGCTCAACTATTCGCTAGCTTTAAATGAGCTAGATGTCGCCAACCTGTCTAGTCTGCAGCAAAAAATACAACCCATACGCGGCTTGTTGTTCAAAAAAGTTCGACTGGTGCCCCACAACTCTGGGAAATACAGTGAAGAGGGACTGACGCGCCTCGCAAACCGGTACAGCTATGATTCATAGACAATAGCAACGGGTTGAAGAAAGTTCTCCATACGTACAAGAAACATCAACCTGCCAGGGAAAAAAGAAGAAAGCAAAAAAGGCTGGGCACTCAATCACTATTCTCCGGTTGCTACTGCTCACTATGGAAACCAGGTGGAATCAGTCTCGAAACCTTCCTGATTGAAAAAACCCGCTTCCACTAGAGCCGAAGAAGCACCAAAACTCCGTGGTGTCAAAAAAGCACACCTACAGGCCAGCCTGCCTTTGAGTGAGCATGTTACTTGTCTCAAAGGCTGTGCTAAAGCGCGTTTCAGCCCACAAGAGCGGCTCCATCGGCTGCAACGGCGGCGGGGTGTAGTCGCTGTGGCCGAAGTTGTTGCCCACGGGCCGCCGCCTGAGGCGAGCGCAGGCTGGCCCGGCCTTGATGGACATATTGAAGTCCATCCGGCGTAGCGTCGGGGGTGAGGTTGCGGCGGCGGTGCTGCTGGCAATGTTTGGCAGTAGCGCAGTTGCTCCTGCTACACAAGTCTGTATGGCAGCCGCAGCTGGCTGTCGATGTTGCACTGGTTATGGCTCTGATCCCAATTAGCTCGTGGTGGTTGCGGTGGTGGCTGCAACAGGTGATTGTCAATGTTCCTTTGTGGCTGTTAAGGTCGGTATAGGCATCGTGGGCTGGATGTGCAAGTGTAGACTCTTGTGTGCGTTGGCTGTGACTGGGCTGCTTGTTTGTGCTACGTAATGCAAACAGCAGCTAGCAAGTGGCAAATGAAAATAACGCTGCTTTGCCAATGGCGGTTGTCTGATACTCTTGTTCCCGGAAACGCCATCTTTGATGCTTCAAAGAGCAGTTGAAGCCAAACACAAGGTGTTGGGCAAGAACAACGACTTGACATCCAAAGGCGTACCAACTATCAGATGCTTTAACTACAGGTGTTGCATGGAACCGATCACTTGGCAGCCTGCGCCATTTTACATCGCTTCAACTAATCCAGGTCTCCTGATTACTCACATGCACACACGCAACAAATCGCATGGACCTGACAGAAGCACTACAGCAACCCTGGTTAAGCGAAACGGGCTTTCACTGTGGCCAAGCCGACCTTTTGATTTTATTCTTAGCAATGCCAGGTTCTCGGCAGACTGTCCAACGCACGAGGTCCCCAGCCAAATCTGAAGAGAGGGAGAGGTCGTCCCTACCTCAGTCGATTGGCTATGACTCGTCTCGCCGACAAAAAAATTGAAGCCGCGTTGAGCCGCGCATTTCTTTGCCCTGGTTGCGAGCGCTTTCAAGTTGCAGGCATCCTTACGTTAGCAATGAACATCTTGACTTCCATTTACTGCGTACACAGAATCGGCGTCCAAGGAGCTTACCCTGCACAGCGAGAAACCAAATGTTTGTTTGTTGTGATTGCTTCATGCAGAACTGCCTGTACCCTGAACAGCGCACAAACACCATTCCTTCTTGGACTTGGACCTTCTGTTTGATCCACAGCCATGCGACCTCCGTGGCAGCATCCACCCCTTGTTTGGCTTTCTCTGCCGCAAGAAAGCTGGAGGCCAGTGATACCGATTCGCAACGTCCAGAGTCTTCGAAGCGGGGACTGCAAAGACTTACCCCCATGCGAGCGCAAGAACTAAGAGGACTTCCAAAGCAGCTCCCCACCGATATGGCGATAAAGTCAGAGAGAAAATGGGAAGACAGTAGCAGTTGCCTGTAGCCCTCAATGTCATACCCTGAAAACCGAAACGCTAGCCGCTTGCGCAAAGCACTTCAGAGATCTGTTTCGAAACGTGGCTCAAGTTTGCTAGTGCATGGTAGATATGCAATCAAAATGTCCGGAAAGGACTGGAAGCAGTAAGGCCCGTGTTCCAGGGTACGCTTATCAGCATTGCGCATGCGTGATGAGAATCTCTATGGGGTGAGGACTGTTCAAAAGTCAAGGGCAAACTCCAACGCAAAGTCTGCCAACTGTTCTCAAGCAAAGTGTGCCGCCCGCCTGTTCTCGAGTTGTCATCACTCTCGCCCCACCAACCCTTGGGCAACTGCTCAGCCCTTGCCAAGCAGGCAGTCGCAAAAAGCAATTGCACGCAAAGACCGCCTTGTCAGACTCTAGCTGGGACTGAACAAGCGGAACAAGTGGAGACTCCTGTCAAATGCAAATGTGAAGCCATCCGCGATGTGAAGCCCTGCCCTGCACATCAACACACAGGCAACCACACACACATATATAATTAATGGTCAACTGCGCATACAAAAGAACAAACGCACAGCAACATTGACATAGTCACCCACTCACGCCACACTGACACTCACACGCACCGACCATTCTGATGCTGACTGCCCCGGCGAAAACATGACGACCAATTGCAGTCAGCACACCTCAGAAAAGCGAGAGGGGCGAAAGTGCAAATGATGAAACACGATTTACAAATAGCTGCAACCTGACCTCCGCAAACTGTGTATACAACTCGCAAATATCCAAACTGCGCTTTGAAAAGAAAGGAGGCGGAAAGGGCTTCCATAGTTGGACATTCTGTCACTCCAAAAAAGCGACTTTCCAGCACTCCGTAGATTGAGAGACATGCCACAGAGTTGTTGCATTCAGGATGGCTTGCTGTGTGAACTAAACTGACGCATCAACCCACGGGCAATGTTGGAAAGTATTGCTTCGATTTCCGTGCCGTCGATTGAAACTCTGACACTGACAAGATCTAATGGAGAAAGGTGTGGCTTTTCTCGAGGCAAATGTGAACATGAGGGCGTGCCAGCTTGCCCAAGCAATTGGGTGTCCAACAATCACCTCCAGAGAGGCCATGGGAAAAATGAAAAAAAGGTGCTTGGTTGTTGAAAGAAACCTTCCCAAAACAAGGAACATAGGCCACCACTGGAGGCTTGGACACAAAACAAACATCACCTTTACAGGAACCAGAACCCGCTACATAGCACCCGAAACGGCGCTGCTCTCCACCTGTATTGGCACGTTGCCATGTGTATGTTGGCCCCCATTGGGCAAAGAACCACCAGGCGACCCCTCCGACCGTTAAACTATTCCCTTCCGCCCTCCCACACCCACTAGTCAAAGCGCAGTCTCATTCAACGAAAAACTCATGATCTTGAAACCGTGCCACCATGAGCAAGCAAAGCCAAAAAAACAGCAACATCGTTCCAAGTTTCGCTGGGGCCACAACTCGCATGGGCGTACTCCTGCTCTATTCGATCCTCAGAACACAACGGAGCGGCTAGAGAGTCAAAGGCCCCCGTGGAAGGTAGAGAGGGCGGAAACCCAAAAGCTAAGTGGGAACTACTGAATCTCTCCTGGCAGCCGAGTGCCCCATTCATGTGGGGAACTTGAATTGGGCAGTTGTGAATATATAAGGGTTGGCCTGCAAGTTCTTCAACAACTTCAAAACCTGACAAAGGCGATCCCTAACGTAACGGACCTAGCTTGTTCTACCCCCTGGGTGAGCTAAATGGACAAAGCCATTTGGAAAGGCTTCCAAAGCCGTCTCTTCAGGGCTCATGCTTTCAGACCATTGTGAGCTCGAATATGCCAGGGGATACTCACCTAAATTGTCGCAAGGGGCCAGGGGCCCTCAGCCACTCAACAAGCAAGATCTATTCAAAGCCCGACACACAGCGAATGAAGACACACCAAATGTCACAAAGATAGTTCTTGTTGCTGCCCCGCACAAGGTTTGGCTTGGGACCATTGCCCGCTAAGCCCTTCTGGTGAATGGACCTCAAATGAAAAAACAAGAGACGGATGTGTCTGCAAATTGTCCCCAAAATTGTGGTTTCCTTGCGGCTGTATCCAGTTTGGTCTTGGACGAATGATCAACCTCGAGCCCCAGGGATCGCTTGGTGTGGTGGCAACGGTTCCAACGAGACCTAGCGCTCCAAAGCCCGTCACGGAGGTAGAAAGTCGGGAGTTGGAAAACAAAAGCACCCAACAACCATGTCGTCGTTTGCTGAGCGACCCTGAGCCACAATCTAGTGCTTGTCAAAACAGGCTGGGGGCAGCCAAAGTGCTGAAGCACGTTAAAACCATGAGTTGAACAACCACCTTTAGCCTTCCCTTTAAAGGGACCAGGGCCTAGTTACAAGCGTAGCATTTCAGCCTTCAGGCACAGCTGAATGCTCGCGAGGGACCTGAATGAGGACCGATCGTTCAGAAACCATCCACCCGATTCCCCATGCTGCTCAACCAGTTGCGAAAACCCGCATTTTGGCCTCGGAGTTGATCGGTTTTCTGGAAGAGTCTGGAAGTAATGGAGAAGTTACAAGAAGAAGTCTGCATGACAAATTGACTGTTGCCCAATAGATCTGTACCTACAGGTTGCTCCTGAAAATGTGGGACTTGTAAGTCGGAAGTCACTCCAATAAACTCCGTCGGAAGGTCGGCCTCGGCACTTGCATTTCGTGCACCAGGGTGGCACGAAGCAAAGCCAACAAGTTAAATATGGCGAAACAGCCACGCCAGTGATGCCAGTGTGCCAGTAGCAAGCAGCCTCGAGCACAGTCTGACAGAAATGCTAGCGAATGAACTTGCAACTCCAAGGCAGTCAGCATCCGCATCTAACATAAAACGCATGGTCTTGAAACGGCCTGACTTTTTGAAGCACATACTACTGGCAAACCTAAATCTACTAGGTACCAACACATGCGCAAATAATGCGGCAGCGGCATATTGCTCAGCCAGAGCCTTGAGTCTGGCAATGCATTGCCATCTCACTTGCCACAAGGACCTAAACGAACAAATCATTTGTATGGGACCGTGACTAAACAAAATATTTTACAAACACAAGTCCAGGCTTTTCATTTGGCTCCCGGATCCCAGACCCGCATTCTCCCAGCCCAGGTCTTGGTTTGGAAGCTCTACAGGTGTGACAATTACCCCGTTTTGAACGGGCGGCACTAGTTTTTCCTAAAACCAGGTGATTCAATTCCGCTTTTTCGCAACCATCTCCCTCTAGCCCCGACTTTGGCAACCTGCTACTGCAAGGGTGTGTGTGTGTCAGCCAAAGGGAAAACCATTCATTCTGTGAAGCTCCCCCTCCCCCCCGCCCCCCATTTGGGGCCCCCGACGGTGGCGTCGAACTCCCAGGTGGGCGCACTCCTCACCGTCTTGCGCTGCGTGTCCTGCGAGCCGGCTGCGAGCCGATGCAAATCCAAAACGCGGTGCCTGTGGCACTCATGGGCCGTGTGATCTGCATCACACCCGATGTGCTGCGTGACGTGTCTTTCGGCTAGCATATGGGCAATGAGTCAAAATCAAAATTATTCAAAAGGGTGCCAAAGCTATTACACAATGCCGCTTCATTTTGTTTCCCTGTTCTCGCCCAGTAAGGTAAACTAGCTTTCACATATCCCGCGATAGCCCTAGGCTGGTAGCCTGCACCCTGGAGTCCCGTGACCTCGCATTTGCTTCATCCGATCTGTAAAGTCAAAGGGTGGCTTCCCTGCCAAACTATCACAAACATGACAACATGCCATTACAAACATGTGCATCCATATCCATATCATATTCCATTCTACATATACACAACATACATGATGAGCACGTGTCATCAAAGCTTGAGCAAGGAACCTTGGCAATATCGAGTCATCCCACTACTGCCGGGATAGAGCTTCTTCCGAAAATGAGCATCATCAGCATCATCCGCATCCTCCGCATCATCCATAACATCCACATTCACATCTCCATCCACAATCCCCCTTGGCATCCTGTGACAATTGCGGCTGCCAGCCCCAAGAGTTTGCCCCGCTTGGGGAGGATTTTGGGCCCTGGGCTGCTGGCCTTGGGCTGCAAAACCCCTGGCGAGTCTCCCGAGGGCAACAAGCTGTTGGACCAATGAAAGGCTCACTTGCTTCGAGATCAGCCTCAGCCGCCCGAGTGAAGTTCAGCAACCTTTCTCACAGTCTACTGGCTGTAGTTCATTTCTGCAAACCTCATTCAAAGACCTCTGCATTTCAATAAGAGTGAATAACTCAAATAGTGATCTTCGAATACAAACCCAGGTCAAAAGCAATCTGAACCCCCGCGGACGAACATAGGCAGTCCATTGGGATCTCCTCACCAGTGCCTGGCGCTAAAACAATGTGACAGACCACATCAGCTTGACAACTCTCCAATACTGATTCGGAGCCATAGCAAGAGGAGCCGTGGGAAGGTTATATGACCCTCACGGGTCCCTAATGGTTCTGACTATTAATTACAAGTAGCCACTATTAGGCTATTGAATAGCTCCCGTTGCTACGGCTCTGAATCAGAGGACAGTCAAGATGATTCCATGGAGTCCTCTGAAAGGGTCCGAGCTTCGATGGAATCTATGAAGGGCGAGGCGGGTTCAGAGTTTTGACACAAGCACTTCCCCTGGTCCAAAAGGCAAAGATACGGAACAAAAACATGTTGCACTCATCATTTCGCCTTGGCCATGGGTGTGGGTTGTGTGTGTGTGTGAAGGAGAACCTCAGTGCAAGTACTGCGCAAATGGGTGCCGCTAAGCCATGGGAATACTTGCTTATCTCGGATGAGATGTGTTGGTCTCACAGTGGATGCTGTGGGGGCCCAACAAATAACTTACCCATCCTCAGAGGGCTGGCCCGGGCTGGACTGACATAGCTTGGCTTGGCATTAACTTGCCTGGCCTTCTATGGCGAACCTCTTTGCGGTTAAAGCGACATGAAACACGGTACTGTTGTCACGGTGACATCCCTAAAAGTAAAGCACAAAGACAACCATAATTACACACCACACACCCGTATTGTTCACAAGCTGACAGTTGTGTGAAAACAGCCACTGCGCTGAAAAAAACTCCAAATTCGGAATACCAAATCAAAACTCACCTGTCCGAGCCGAACTTTGACGGGCCAATAGCAAGCTGGTTGCCTCAGGCGGCTCCAGCTTTTGGCCTCGGGTGCCTCCCGTGGCCTAAGAGAACATGTCGAGCGTGCATGGGTGTCATTTCTCCATTTGGTGGACATTAGGCGGGACTTGGGACGTGGTTTCCTATTCAAGTTTAAAGCGACATGTTTCGAGAGCGTAGTTGTGCGGGTGTCACTTCATGGACCCACCTATGGTGAAACTGCTGCGTAAGCCGTGCGCCCCACTCTCTCCACCTTTCTTCAGCCAACAGGAGGCGAAGCGACCATCAATGTGCTCGTCTCCTGTAACATGGGATCAATTCAAACGCAGAGCTTCTGGCTGATGGCTGCTCTATGCCCTGCGAGGTGCGTCCTGCTTGGTGGATCCCAGGCAGTATGTGCTCCTCACACTCCTGATCCCTTAATAACACGCTCGCCAGATCAATCCAATGTCAAAGCAGCTCTGCTATGAGGAAAAAACAAAACACAAACCACAACTTCTGCATGGATGCATCAATGCTGCAAGACATGCCGTCCCGCTCGCACGTAATGGATGGGACTATGAGCCATGGCTTCTGGCTGGAGGGGCCTGGACAAAAAACAAACCATATCTGACACATCCATTCAATTGCTGAAACGTACAGCCTGGGTTCCAGGAAAGACCTAAGATCTCGTCACCCAGGCGCCTATGTCGAATGCCTTCACAACCTAAGGCAGCGCAGGTTGTTGGATCGACGTTCAGCCAACAGTCAAACTCTTGGTTACGAGGCACAAAAAAGCAAATAAGGCTTGCTGGGTTTCATCTGAACGAATATCTCCCCGAATCATCCATGTCCCTCTCCCTCTCTAATGTAGACAAACACATGTCCTTGTGTCGACCTCAAATGAAGTCCCCGAGCCTGATGACAACTTAAAGACAGCAGAGTTCTTACCCATGCCAAGAACCTGAATTCAAGGACCCTAAGCAAGCAACTACTGGCTAGCCAGAAATTAAAGGCCAAAGTGCCTGTTTCTTAGAGTCACAAACACCATGTGTGGAACCCAAAAAGCCAGCATGTGTGGAACCGCTTTTTGGCTTCCATGTCATGTTGCAACGAAGTTACCCATTTGCGGCTGTGTGGTTGCTTTTGTGTGAGGTATACGATGATAGATGTTACAAGATTGATTACTCTTTCCAAATTAACAATGACGACCATCACAAAACACATCATATCTTGTGAGCTACACGGGAATAGCATGATCTCAGCTGGATACACAACAAGCCACAGAACTCTTGGTCTATTGCCGTCTATTGCTAGGACGTTCCCAACATGTCTTGCAACAACCAGCCGGACAAAACAATTCCCGTGTCCTCTTGTCAAAAATGTGTGTGTGTGTGTTTGTGTGTGTGTGTGCGGGTGTGTGTTTGTGTGTGTGTGAGATGTTTCTTCAAGGGGCTCATACGGTGCTCGGAGCTCAAATACCCTGTTGGTATTTCAAGCAGTGGGTTCTGCGAAAACGGATTAATAAAACACCGTGCCTGCAGGACATGAACAAACTTTAGGCAAGTGCAACATGAGCATCACCTAAAACACAATGGCTAAGGTGGCCTGTTTTTAATCTGCAGGCTCCGAAAGAATCATACAAAAACACTAGCAAATGGTTCCGAATTCCAAGGCCTTTGCAGACGTCAGATACGTGAAGCCGGCAGGTCTTTGCCCAAAGATGACCGGACAACCTCCACAACCCATGAGGCAACAGAACCTGACCTGAGGCAGCGATACGGACCACCTGCAAACCAGAACAACTCTTTATGTTGCTGAAGATCGTTGCCTAACATGAACTTGCCTAACATGAGCTGGACAAACATTGGGCATCTCAGGACAAAGCATCCAACGAAACATCCCAAACGGGGGACCTAGAGGGAAGTTAACGTGGTGGGCATCTCATGTAGAGGGCCTCCTATGATGACTTGATCAAGGGTTGATTCAAGCTGGGGAATACCAATGGGAGGCTCCAAACATTGTTTGCACAAGCAAAGCCATCACAAAATTGTGTCGGCCGAAGCTGCCGGAAGTTTCGGGCAATTTCTCCGCATGTCTGTATCTTCCTGTTGTATTCATTGTCTTCCTGCGGATTTCAGGCTGCGTGCTAGCCACAATAAGGGACAGCCAAACAGCAATCGGGCCCCAGCGAGCGGTGGTTCTCTTCCATGCAGACAACGCTGATTGCCGGGTCTGCAGCAACATCTTTCCACGAACTCATCACTGGCATCCCATACGCTTTACATCCCTCACGCTAGTATGATATGATATACTTCACAAAACGATTTCTAGAAAGGGAACACTGTGATACTGTGATCCATATTGAATGGCATGACCATCTCACGTCCAACAAACTGACAGCTGTTGTTTGTCTTTTTGTTGAGGGTACCCTTGTGGGGTTGCTTTTAACGGGAAAGCAAAAGAAAACCAACCATTTTGGAGCTCCCGCCATTTTGAGACAAACGCCTCAGCCATGTTTCAGCATCGGCGCCGATTCCTCCCGAAATAGGATTTTCGAGCTCCAGGCATTGTCCATCAGGCACACCGCCATCGTTGAATTGCCCTCCTCCACCATGGCCTTGAGCGCGAAGCAAATAATGTTGACCCCATATTGATCAACCCCAGCTTATTAATAGGGGGTGTCCGTCCGTGGGTTTAGTGGGGAATCATCACTTTTGGAGGGGAACACCGCGCTATTAATAATATGAGGTTGATTAATATAGGGTCACATGGTTGATCCCCATTCGGTGTCTAGGATAAACAAGCCGATATTCTACTTGGCACGAAAAAGCTCTAGGCCAAACACAACACGAAACAGCTTCGGTTTGGGGATTCCTTTCCGGGACCACCAATGTATGTGTGTTTGATAAGCCGAATTAATCATCTTGCTTCAAATGATGGCACGCATGCTGAGACTGAAAGAACTGAATCCGTTGAATTGGGGCTCTGGATAACTGTGGGTGTTTCAGATATGGGAGCCCCTTGACAAGGGTGTCATCGTTGTAACCCCCCGTGCTGCAAGTGTCAACAGCGATGGTGTAACGACAACCAACATGCAGCTTCTTCTTGCGGTGATAAGACGGGGCAGTGTCTAAGGACAACTCCGGTGACATATTGAGCTGCCAACAAAAACAATGTAAACTCAAGCAAGCATCTATAAGTTGGCAGACGCAATCATGTGCTGCACTTGTCCGTGAAGCTGACAAAGTTTCAAAACCACACTGACAACCCAAACTACCCAAACAATCTATTTGTGTGTGTTTTCAGGGTACTGTTTTTGAGGGTTGGCTTGAGGGAAACCAAGGGAACACCATCCACTTTGTGGGGGTCCGCATGTTTTGCCACATGCCCACAGAAGCACACCTTACGATGTCTGCATGCGATGAATCGGTGAATCTCTCAGGGCGTTGCCAAGTCCATGCCACCGATGCCTTGCGGCTAATCGGAGCGAATGGGTCAAGGTGTGGCTGCGCAATCTGCTGAAATACCCGGGGGTCCTTAAAGGATACATTCAAAAAACCACCTGCTTTCCAAGGGAATCACCGAAATCATCTGGCAAAGATACACTTTTAAACCAGCCAAATGTGTCCTTGAAGGGGGGATCCCTTTGAAGAAGCCTAGAGGAGGTTGTTTAAGCCATGGTTTCAATGTGAATAAGGGATTGGGCCATCCAGATGTAGCCAAACCGTCCAAAATCCGCGTCTGCTCAGTACGGCTGGGCTTGCATGGGCCAGGCTGAGCGCCACAGAAGCAATGAGTCAAAATCGCCCTTGAACTCTGCTCATAATATGAGGCATGACATGTGGTCTCCAGCGGGCCAAGAATTTGCGCTTTGTTTCAGGTTTCTGCTTATGCAAACAACAATGATAGGCTCCAGGGGGCTAGTCCAAGCTCCAAGTTACAACATGCGGGTTGACCTTGTGACAAATATCAAGGAGGTCCCCAACTGTTCCATGGAACATGTCAAAGTGAACACTTGGTTCGTCGCTAAAAACAAACATAAAACCAACAGGCTGCTAGGCCGTTGGGAGCGGATTAAAACATGGAGCTAAGTGTCACATCGCAAACTGCCCCAAGACCCTCAACCTTAAAGGCAGGAACAGCCCAGTATTTACATTGTAACAGGCAAGCTTGCAAGGCATGCAATTCTTCGATCAATTGCTGTCACTAGCAAATGGTCATTCCAATTTCCGAACATAGACAGTTCAATTCACTCCCAGGGAAGAACATGTGGGTGAGAAAAGGCGAACTATGCGAGAAAAAGGCTTGGCGAGAGGTCCCTTTGCGCACGGCCGCCAACAATCCGACCGTGTGATTCACTTGAGGCGGTCTCTATGCGTCCATGTTCGCAGCATGCTTGTGTTAGCGTACATGTGGTCAGTCAAAAGTCGCTGGCTTGAACATTTACAAACATCCGCATCATCATCATCATCATCACCCCCAAGAGCACCACCACCACCAGTACCAGCACCAGCACCACACCACATCCAACAACATCAACAACGACGGGGCAGCGACGATGACCGCGACGGCGACGACGACCACCACCACCACCACCACCGCCACAACAACAACAACAACAACACCAACACCAACAACCAACAACCAACAACCAACAACACCAACAACCAACAACACCAACACCAACCAACACCAACACCAACACCAATAACACCAAAAACAAACACCAACAACAACAACACCAACACCAACAACACCAACACCAACACCAACACCAACATCAACACCAAAACCAACACCAACACCAACACCAACACCAACACCAGCACCAGCACCAGCACCAACACCAACA